TCTTTATATGAGTTTAGAGGAAAGCTCCCACAGACTGACTGCCAATTCTTGGCAAGGTTGTAATCATTGTGTTCCTAGAATGTATTATCTGGTTTATTTTCATCCAAAAATAATCTGTTTTTTTGCTCTAAAACCACTCCATGCTGCACACCAGAAAGAAGGAAAGAGGGGATTCAGTTCCTCAATTCAAACTAAGGTGCAGTTGCAGGCACACCCATGTCACTAGGCACAGATAGCTGTAACATGGAGGATGCTTATCTAATATACTTTGAGTAATAAATGATAAATATATTTGTCTTGAATTCATCTGCTTTTAACCAGAATTCTAAAATAACAACTTCTCTTTTTGTAGAATTACTTTGAAAAGAGTTGAAAATGGGAAAGGAGTTTATACTAAAAAAGACCAGTATTTCTGCAAAGAAAACTTTCATTTTCACATTCTCAAAAATAAATTGTTCTTTATTAGGTTTGTTTTCTTCTTCCAAAACATATCAAAATATTAAGTCAGTCTTTAATGCAAAGCAGCCTGTGATGTTTGCTTACAGTTTATATTTTTCAAAAGAAAATGTCACAAGTCATTGAATTCTGTACATTACTTCAGAAGAAATTGGTAATTATATACTGTGCCTGCAAACTGGGACCAAACTCTTTCTTACCATCGGTAAATGATCAGGAATATATCACCTTTCTATATTGGAAACCCTGATTCAGGTGCCCAGAATAAGAAGTCTGGAAAAAAGGTTCTCTAACTCACATTGAGTTGCCTTTAGTATGCCCTTAGATTACTTTTCTTCATAACCAAGGAAACTTCCTTTCTCTCTCCTCTTTGTCCAAGGTAGTTCATGTTCTTATGTTATCAATAGATACCAGAATCTGGAGTTGGGATTTAAAAAACACCTGAAACCTCATGATAGTATGTCAAGAGATAGTAGTAGTAGCATTTTTATAGATTGAGCAAGTAGAAATTTGGTACTTCTACACTTGACTGCTCAGTGACTCTTATTGTATTTTTAATATATTTTATTCTGTTATTTTTAACATAGTTATTATACTGCTTTAATGTCTACCTTTTAGAAACTCCCCACCTCTGCCTGAAAAAAATTTATTTCCCTTTTTTCAACTTTCATCCATGCATTCATGTTGCAGAGTTTTCTGTTTGGTTATAGTGCTTATCTAAAGTTACCCTGTTGGCAATTTGAAGATTTCAGTCACTTATTTTCTGAAAGGTCATTTTCTTTTATACTGAGTGCTATCTGAGATTTTCCCCTACTATTCTGTATTAATTAATCCTCTTATATCCTTTATCAAAGTTACTGTGTTTTCCACAGTAACTTACTGTGTTACTTTGATGTGCTCCAGATTGGACAGATGTGCAGATGTGATGTGAGTCCTACGGGTCCCTCATAATGCTGAAACACTGTTTCCTGACTTTTGTTGAGTGCTTGGTTTTATGATATAATTTCCAACTTTCTCTTTCCTTTGTTTTTTTTTTGGCTATGGACCTACCTCTCTTTTTTGTCACTCCAGTTTTCAGTTGGTGTAGTTTCACTGAATCAGCGTATAGTTAAATGAAATTACTACTACAGAATAGGGGATGGGCCATAGAGTTCTAATTCTCAGAGTTTTTGGGATGGGTTTTTCTTCCTGCAGTGAAGCAGGTCTCCATTTCAGATGTGCCTGCAGCAGGGGGCTTGGAATAGGTCAGTTACTCAAAAGAAATTAAACCGGAGTCACAGAGTCTGAACGCATTTTATAGGATCTTTTTATTTTACTCTCTGCACAAAAAACTGTGTTTTGTGAGCAATATACAGAAAGGTACAAACAGAAAAATTGCACATATGGTGAGTCTTTCTGTCTCAGCAGTACATTCTGTAGGTAGGTTCGTTATCCAGATTTGGTTGTATTGTCCCCTGTGCTCATCAAACAATTGATGTACCTTGTCTTATCTGTTACAGAATGGCACCATCTTTCTTGTTCTTATGTTTAAGCAATCTGTAGCTCAGGAGCCATTAACCCTAGGACCTTTTGTAGCTGTTCTACAATCTAGAGGAACTGCTTGACAAAATTTGAAAAAATTGCATCCTCTCAGTCTAGTCTGTGCCTAGGTTTTCATCTGTACAGAAAAGGCTTAACCTCCACAGCCTATTTAATGAATGTTTATATGAATGTGCAAGCATTTCACCATAGTGGTATGTTGTAAGTAGGCACGTTCAGTGTGTTTTGGAGAATATATTCCTTGCTTAAATTTCTGTGACATTCCTGTGAAATGCTTTGCAGCACATACTGCAGTTGAGGGATATAAACATTCTTTTTATTATTCTAATATAGTAGCATGTATTATTGATTTGTAGAAAAATTTAAAGTGCAAACTGGTCTTTTTTGTTAAGAAGGTTCATATATAAACAATGTAGATTGTGTAGACTAAATAAATGTCAGACCTAACATTTTACAGATGGTGAGAGATGTATAGACACAAGGAGCTTTGAAAAATATTTTCCAGTTTTTTTAAATTCAGCATGTGCATATTTTATACTTCAGACTGATTTATTTAGGCTTGTAGAAATGGAAAGCAGTATTTGATTAGATCATTATCATCTCTCTAGTTACCACAGAGATGCACAGTGCTATAAAATGAACTGTAATTTATTTATCTGTTAATGTCTTCATGTTGTGTTATAATTACCTCTTGTTCTGTTCTTGTGTATCTTCCCTCCAGAAATGAAAGTATTTGTTGGTATTTTGGTTTTGTAAACATTTATTTCTAAAGGGCTTCTTAAAATAAAGCCTTGAATATACTTTAAAATTATTCTTATAGTTACTTAAAAATTTTATTTTTGATCATGACAAAGATTTTGTAGGTGTAAGTAATGCAAATACCAGTCTTTGTACATAAACAGTCATAACATAAACAGTCTATACTCTTTCCTTTGCTTTCACAGATGTTTTGCAATTTCAAAACTAAGAATGTGAGTGTGTAAAAGTATGGAGGAGACTTCATATGAATATGGCCCTGCTTTTACTATCTATCTGCAGAATCTTGCTCCATGGGTAGTATAGGCCTGTTATTAAAAAGCCTGTTCGCAGATTAATATAATTGTTAGCATTTTTTTTTTGGAAACGTGACCTCTCCCCTTCCAAACTTCCAAACACCCCTTATCCTCTGCCCTTTGGCCAGTTATGATTATACTAGGAATTATGATACAAAATGCAATTTGGATATATAGCTCAGTTATGCTACTTATCAGGTCGATTTATCTTTGTTAATTGCCATTCATATATACTATTTGTTTTATCATGATTTTTGAATGTTGAAAACCTTGAAACTAATTTTTATTATGTTCTGTCAAATTTTTTAATTGATGTGTGTGTGTGTCATTGGGATCAATTGTGTGTCATGGTTGGTGTTGGTACACTAAGGCATGGATGTGAGAGCTGCAATGAGTGCTTGAAGATACAGAAAATAACAAAACTGATCCAGGAACATCATTGATATTTTGGGTCACAGTTGCAACAGTGATAAAGAGTTTAAGACATTGTGTTTGCCACTTCAGGATGATTTAATACAGATTAAAAGAAATACCTTAATTTGCTTAAGCATACAGTCTATCCATCCAAATCTATCTTTTGATAGATGTGGGGGTATTTTTTTTTTCCTAAAGTATTTGCAGTATTATTTTATTACTCTTTTAGCTTCTCCACTGGGAATCAGAAGTAGCTGTTCTTGAGTAATGGTGGATGATGTGATGTCTGAGTTTTATAAGCTGTCTTGGGATCCAGTGAATAAGAAATTTATGGCAATTCTACTATCTATGTGGTGGTTTAAGAGTGATAGTATTTTAATTAGTTTTTGAATAATATTGTCCAGTTTCAAGCATTTTGTTTTAATATCTGTTTTCATCTTAGTTCCTCCTTAAATGTAGTGTTTAATTGTTTTTGTTAGGGCTTCAATTACCTTTCTTCACTCCCAAGAACTATTAAAATTATACACTAATGAAACAGTAATCTCCTCTGTGATCTACTACATAGCAGCAGAAATGGCCAGCTGTGATTAGAATAGAAACACTGCATGGAAAAATTGCCATTAAGATTCAAACAGGATTGTTTTTTTTTTTTAAAGTCACAATAAGAAAAACTGTGATAAAATATAATATTATATGATCAGTACAAATAATTTTTAAAATAAATTTTCATATCTGGATAATTATAAAGATAATATTAGTGTGGTAGAAAACATGTTAATACAGTAATTCTGAATTGTATTCCAGAATTCTTTGAAGACACATGTATATTTTTTGTGTGTAACACTAGACTAAGACTAGAAGGAGAGGCGTTAAAAAGTTGTAAATATATTTTAGCTGAGAGCTGGTTTTGAAAGTGTTATCATTCACTAGTGACAAATGTTGAAATCTTCAAAAGCAAGATGACTGTTCATTTTTCATAGGTGAGGGAGCCTGTTCATCTGCTTGCCAACCTTTGTATATGAGGTGAAAATCTAAAATCGCTAGGATTTGTGATTGTTAACTCTTCTTTTAAGAGATGAAATGAAGGTTAACAACCCAGATAATTGTTTTGCACAAATCTGGAGGCTGAAAATGCCTTGGTGCCAGTGAAAATTAACTATTGTTTGAGATGACAACTAGGCACAGTTAGGTGGTCTCCAGATAACTTGGAAAGAAAGACTTTGTGAATTAGGTCCTGAAATCACGAATAATCGACGACGAGTGAGAAAAGGAAATGGAGTATGAGGGAACACTTACTTGATGAGTTGCTTTGCCAAGCAATGCATAGCATTGCTCAACATCCTGTGGTTTCTGAAGCTTGGTGTTTTCATATTTTTGTGAAGAGAATTAAAGGATTTGAAGCTAGAAGTGAAAAATTCACAGATAGCTGTTGGTACTTGTAAACTTGAAAATCTGTGCCATCTTCAGGCTAAATTTTGATGAGAAAACTTTAGAATTGTGAAAACTACAAGGATAATCTCAAATTTTTTCTTCTTCTAGTGTTGGTGTATGAGGTCCGTGTATACACAGGTGCTGAACTTGGTGCTGAAACAAATTCCAACGTTTATATCAATCTCATTGGGATAAGAGGAGATACTGGCAAAAGGAAGCTCCACAGATCTAAGAATAATAATGTAAAATTTCAACGTGGACAGGTGAAGTAAAAACAATGCTACTTCTGGTCAATAAGAGTAAATTATGGCTAGCAGACAAGTGTAAATATCTTTTATTTATAAGATTTATTCAAGCATTTACCATTGTCTTTATTCAAAATTACTTACATAATTACATCATATGGATGACTTTTATCTGCTCAATCAATCATTTACTGAGAGCATTAAATAGTAGAATTTGAGTATTCTTGCTTGTTTGTATTGCTTGTATGGATAAAATGGTAACAATAGTTTTTATTCTCCTGGACAGATCACCATGAATTTTAGAATCAAGTTCTAAATCCATATCCCAGGTTTTCTAGTCTTGCTGAGGCAGATAGCACTAGAAAATATGATATAGAAATGACTAAATAATTATTTGCACCTGATCATTGTGTCTTGCCAAAGGAATTGAGGTGTTATTCAACTCAGAAAGATTTAAAGGATCCTCACTGTCTGGCCAGGACCAGTATAAAACAACTATATTCATTTTGCAAAAGAAGAAGAAAAGAAAGAGAGAGGAAAAATGAGCTATTCTACTCTGTTATAGTCAAAGCAATAGCTGTGTTCAAGACCTTTATCATTTTCCTTGTATGGTTCCACAGATGGATATTTTCTGCATAAAGGCTGTCTCACTGGGAGACTTGGAGAAAGTTCTGATTAGCCATGATGGAGCTGGTCCAGGTAGGATTTAACTTCCTAGAGACCAATCTGTTTTCAAGCCCTTTTTAAACCCAGTGCACTTTGTTTATATTGCATTCTTCATATAAAATGTGACAGAAGGTCTTGCAGTGATAAAAAGTTTTCCTGCAGGCTGATCACTGTGATGGGATGATGAAAAACAATAGTAATGGACAGAAGAATTGACATGAGTTTAATCTCAAATGCTGTCATTCCACTCTTTGTTTTCAAGATTATTTATAAGAAAGTATTATTTATTTGCATATAGAAAACTTTCAAAAGTGTGTCTCACACTGGTAGGACAATCCTTTATTAGACAAAGAGTGAAAACTGGCCAGAATGGAATTAAAGATATTCAGCAACTGCTTTTCTACCAGACAAAATTTTGAGTAGCTCTAGCATAATGTCCTTGCTGCTTTGAGGAACAGCGGATGATTCGATTATTTACTTAATCTGTGTGAGTCAATGTGGAGCTGCTCCAGTGAGTGACATTACATTTGGCTTGTAGGTTTTTCAGAAAAAAGAGAAAATTTGGTGATGAGATGAATTTTCAGTACAGGCCCTTGAAGTATGCATGATGTAAATAAAGAGAAAACTAGCATTTAAAAGCACTGAAGATGTAAATACTCAAAATATGTTTGCAGATTAATATCTAGGAATAAGCTAAGTGAAGAGAAGGATTTTTAAAGCAGTTCGGGGCCACACTGATAACAGATTAGAAAATACCTTTTACCCTATTCTGTTCTGAAATGGCCTTAAGCAACACCCATCTTGCTGACTGTACTGCCTAAGGCTCTGAGCAGAGCTGTGACTACTACAGAAATAGCCTTAATAGTGCAGCCTTAGGATGGGGCATTCTAGTTCTCTAGAGTTTTCTGCCTTCAGCAAAATATGTGACTGTATACATGAGAGTTTCACATCCTGGTAGCCCAAGACATAACACAGAAAACAGTGTGGTGGAAAATCCCGTACGATGCTCTCTTCCCTCACCTCTCCGTTAATAGGCAGTTCAGCCTTATCACAGAATAAGAATTGTAAATCTGTAACTCAATTCAGCTATCTTAAGCTGTTCTTTGACACCTGAGTTCAAATCTGTGGGTTTGGAGGACTGTCTAAACAGGACAATGGATTGAATTCTTCCTGTAACAAAATTTATGCCTCTGTAATTCAGATGGTTGTTCATTGTATTTATCACAGACAGATCTCACAAACCTCTTTTGAACTGCATCCAAAACTAACCCCTCATAAACCTGGCCTGAGATTACTGGGGAGTTGAGAGCTGGAAAAGGATAGTGACTCAGGAGAGAGACCACCAAGAGACTCATCCACTTGAGGGTTGAGAGAGAGGAAAGAGAGTACTTTTAGAGATGGGACTACCCCTTTTTCTAATCCTATCATTTGCTTGAGTGACAGGACAGGAAGGTCCTTAGTCTTGATTTAGAGATTGTCTTGAAAGGATCCTGTAACATATGTTTTCTTCAGAGTTCCTAGACTGCAGGGTACAGATCTTCTCCCACAGACACTGTGAATGAGGAAAGTAAAGGAATTTTGTCCTAGAAGCAGGGTTTGGGCATTGGTCTGGTGTGAGTCACTAGGCGATTTGTCTTACCTGCTGAAAGAAGCTTTTCCTCCATAGAAACCTTCCATATATACCTGTATATTTACACAGGCAGTACCTTTCATCTTTTTTGGACTTTTTCAAATTGACCTGTCTGATTGCTAGTTCATCTTGGCCAGCCTAATAGGCTTTTTCCAATGTAAGAGTAGTGAGGTGTAAGAGGGTGACAGAAGCAGCTTGCAAAGTGTCCTAATATGCCCTGGACCTGAAATCCTAAAGGGAGATGCCATTTTGTTCCATGCATTGCCTGGGCATGCCCCTCCTGTGTGACAGAAACTGCTGCCTTCTAGGGATTTCCAGACTCAGATGCAGCCAGAGAGGCAGAGCATGAGAATAAATAGGATGATTGTTTCTTCTGACCAAAACATCCCTCATGTTGTTTTTCTAAAATGTGCTGATAGGTAATGGTGTGAGTCACGCAAAACCTCGTAAGCAATATGACAAGTTGTGAGTTGTGCAGGAGGGGTGAGAACAGGATATTTGAGAAGGGTGTCGCAAGGAGAATTATACTGGTCACTAAGATGGTTACTGGAAGTGATCTGAAAGATCAGCATGGATGTGCCAGTGGTTACTGCTGTTAGGCAGAGGATGAATTCAGTAGCCTGACAGAAGTGAGGCTGCACAGCTCCATGCCTGCCGGCTGCACTGGTAGCAAGGCTGAGCATGTGTTCCAATCAGACATACACACAAACACGTGTGTCTGCACATGGCCGGCCATGCAGGACAACACAGACAGGAACTCATCCCATACACAAATAGTAACAATGGCCTTATCCTGTTACCCTCTCCAGCTGATCAGAATAACAGTCTATCAACGTCAAATATAAAAAATTTATACAGTATGGGCGTATAAGACCTCCAGTAACTGGCCTTAGGCACTCAGTCTATCTGGGTGCTGTTCCTGGATCCTTGGATCCTCAGTTTTGCCAGTTTCTGGCACCAGGACATACAAAGCCCTGCCAAGGCTGCAGTCCCTCTCCATTTCCATGGCAGCATTAGTTTTAAAGATTTGTTAATTAATATAATATTTTTATTTATGCAATAAGGTGTTCACTCACAGAGGACCAAAATTTCCAGCATTCACACAAATCTTGATTATTGTAATAAATGGATTCATTTCAACATCCTTGTGTCTGATTACAAGGAATCAAAAGATATGGGCTGAGGTGTGAACAGTGTGAACAATTCAGAGATGCATGCATGTATTTATCTTGAAGAGAAAAAATCCCCGCCACTTAAAATTAAAACAGGCAGAAAAGAATTGCATCTCTTACAAGAGATACAAAATAATAAAGTTTCATTCTGTTGATATATCTTATCTATTTTGCTGAGATATGTCTTAATATGATCTGTGTTTTTGCTAAAAAATATAATCTGGGCTTTTTTTCTTAAAATTTATTAAAAAGAAAGAAAAAAGCATGATTTCACATGATAAACTTTTGTCATTTCAACACAGGCAATGGATGGTTCCTGGATAAGATTGTCATCAAACATAAAGAAGGAGAGGAAGCTCAGGAGGTTGTATTTCCTTGTAATAGGTATGCCATTCATGGAGAAAAATAATTTGTTACCTGCCAGCAACGTAATCAAAAAATCGCAGAATGGATATGTGCAAACAATGTAGGTGTATGAGCAATGTCCCAGAGTTTTTCAACATACAAGGGATGCAAAATTTTGCGATCAAAGGCAAGAAACAAATTTGCTGTATTGACATAGGAGGGAGTCATAGCCTGAAGCAAAGAAGCCCCAAACCAAATGTTTCATAAGAGGAAAGGTGCATTGATCTTTTTGTTTAATCTAAATTATACAGAAACCATGTGAAATTACTTAAGCTTTTAGTTCTCAGTCTTTTAAGAAGTATTGTATATAAAGATCTGAAATTACACAGCTGCTGTCATGCAAACATGGCAGGATGACTCACACAGCTGAAGTGCTGTAATGGATGGCTATAAATCCTTCAGCAGGGATAGGCAAGAAAGGAGAGGTGATGGGGTAGCCCTATATGCTAAGAAGTGTTTTGATTGTCTAGAACTTGATGATGGTGATGATAAGGTAGAGTGTATATGGGCAAGAATCAGGGACATGGCCAAGGCAGGTGTCATGGTAGAAGTCTGTTATAGACCACCCAACCAGGATGAAGAGGCAGATGACATACTATAAGCAGCTGGGAAAAGTCTCACAATCACTGGCCCTTGTTCTCCTGAGGGACTTGTGTCTGCTGCAAATACAACACAGCAGAGGGGAAGCAGTCTAGGAGATTCCTGGAGTTTATAGAAGTGAACCTTCTGACACAGCTGGTCACGGAGCCAGCTAGGGAAGATGTCCACTGGATCTGCTGTTTGTGAACAGAGAGGGACTGGTGAGTGATGTGAAGGTTGGAGGCCATTTTGGAAAGTAAGGATCTGTGTGTGTTATTTATGCATTAGTATTTTTAATACAATAGAAATAAGTTGAAGAATTGTAATTTAGATCCAGATAATTATATTCTGTAGTATGTGGTTTCCAGAACTTAAAAGTTTGGGTTACATAGCTAAAATAGTTTTCATGTTATTTTGGGAACTGTGCTTTAAGTCTTGAAAATCTTCAGGGGTTTAGTAGACAGCTCTCCTCTTCTAGGAATCCTACCTCTTTACAAAAAAACACCACAGGGTTTCCTTTTGCAAAGTTCCTGGAAATGACTAGCTAAGAACCATTTACTCTTCTTAGGACTATCATTCGAATGATCAGGTTATCGGTTTAGCTTTTCTTTTTGGGTATTAAGCTTTTAAAATGGTTTGGTGTGCATTAAAGATGGTTATTGGAAGCAGAGATGAATGAGAAAATTGATTCTTTAGATTCAAGGAGAACTTATGAGACTTCTCTGAAGAGTGGAATTCTTAATAAAAACACTGGGCTGCCTTTTCAAGAGGAAATTGTAAAGATCTTAGAAAAAGATTAGGGACTTTACACATAGAACCAGAGGAATTTTGTCATTGTTTGCCTGCAGTGTAAGTGTGCTGCCAATGTGTCAAAGTTTTCTTTCTATTTTTAGAAACTACTACTGATCTTTTCTTTCTTAGGACAGAATTAGGAGATAGGTCCCAAAAGTTAATCAAGATATTTATTACAACAATGGTTGAAATACAGTGGAGTTCAGACTTCGTGCATAAGATATTTATTCATAGAGTTTTGTTACACATAAGAGGTGAAATATATTGTGGATCCTTGGGTTTTAACAAATGCAACATTAATATGGAGTCAATAGAATAGAAACTGATAGCAAACATGTATCTATTTATTTTTAAATAAGTGATATTGTTGAAGGCCATGAAAGGTTATTATTTGAGCACGGAGGATCAACTGAAGGAGTAAAACGATATTGCAGTAAAACGATATTGCAGGAAAGCTGCTAAAATCCATCAATTTAAAAGAAAAGTAAAAAGAGAAGTTCAGTTAATTGCTGCAGATCTGCAAAAGATTTAGAAACTTCCAGACTGGCAGGTTTTATATATCATTTTTTATATCAGTCAGTACAATGAATATAACTAGTCACTGCAGGTTATATACCCCTTCAAATATACAGCTGAATCTCTGAAGCAGTAAATAATTAGCATTTCATATAATGTACTTCATGTAGTACTACAGTATTCGCACAGCTACAACGAGAATTCCTCTGCCTGGAGCAGGTTGAACCAAATTCTTCTAACACGAATAAGACTAACTGTGATGAATGTATAAAAGAAACTTTGATCTAGGTTTCAAGGCATAACTTGATAAACAAAGTATAAAAATACTGTTGGAGACAGAAGGTAATGATCAGCTCACATATAATATACTAATAGTTTTTATTAATCTTATTATTTTTGTTTTTGCAATGAAAGATGGTTAGATGAATGCCAAGATGATGGGAAAACTGAAAGGGAGCTAACTGCCAATGGTAAGTATTTTGTTAAAGAAAAATTGTGTTATAGTACTATATTATAGGCTTAATATCCAGTTATTAAGAAGAACCCTTCCAGATAAGACCATAATTTAAGAAGAAAAGTGATAATAAAGCTCATTCCAATTAGTTTTCCTGTTCATATTTTAGAGGACGGCAGTTCAATGAAGGCGTTCCTCAAAGGTAAGAGTTTTTTTCTAACCGGTGTTTTCTATATCATAGCTTTTGCTGTTTGAATTTAACCTGCAAATCAATATTGTGACAAATATGTAAGCAAGTGACCTCATTTGTATATGTTTTATACTGCATATCAGCTGTTACACAAAAAGACAAATTGTCTGGCAACAGTCTGCAGAAAGGACTAGACCTCAATAACCAATTGAGAAAAATATAAAGCATTTCTTGTTTTCTTCATATTTCTACTCTTCTGACCTGAAATCAACAAGGAATTCCTCTGAGAAGAGAGTCAAGTGTTGTTTTGTTTACCGCAATGTCGCTGTCATTTAATACTTGGGGACAGGTCCCCTAGCAAACATCAGCAAGTTGAAAAATGTGTTGTGAAATGTCAGTAGAAGCATTTTCAGGTCAAAATCCCAAAGTAGCCAGAAATAATGCAGCTTACACTCCCAATCCTCTAGTGAAGCTAAATGTAGTACATGCATTCAGTTGACTAAATCTGTTTGAATTAATAAAAAAAATTAATAAAAAAACTACTCACCTAGCTTTCTGGTTTTATACTTACAAAGACAATCTCATCACTGTAATACACTAGTTCCTCCCAGGTGTTTAAAATTTGAGATACCATCTCCTCATTTCTTCCTAACCGGAAAAGAGACACAGACTGACACACATATTTTTATGAACGCTTAACTGTAAATGACTATTCTGTGCAACCATGCCTGGGCATTTTATGGGAGAAACTAAACTACAAAACGTAGTATTTACATTTGTCTCTTAAAACAGTGACTTGCCTTCTGTAGAATGAGTCCTAGTCTCTCAATCTAATTTCAATTTCAGTGAAAATCAAATTATTTGCATTCAGTCAAACAGTTTAGCCAACAGTTTTATTGTTCCATGGCAACATAACTTAGACAAGAGGAGACTGATGAACTCAGGTAAGTAAAGGCTTTCCCACATAGAAAATTAATTTCACAAGTGACTTGGATTTTGGATTCTGCATTCTGCTAAGTGCACAGTTCAGAGAGGCAACCATGATATCTATTTCACCTTATGTTCAGATAAGAGACTATATTTTACTACCAATTCAAATTTTTTCCAGAGCAGCTTCATTCTTCATTATGTTATAATAAGCAGGCACAGATGCACAGGCTGCTCAGTGCCTCGAGTGTCAACAGTGGTTAGACTCAAAATATTGGGTATGAGAAGAAAGGAGTGCCTTCTTCTTAATCAGCTTTTGATACGTCACACTGTCAAGATGTCTGGTAGCACCCAGAGAGTGTTGAGATCAGAGGTTCTGAAAAATGAAATTATAAAGGAGAAGAACATTTTTAGGAAGTATCTGTTTGAGTTATATGCAGCTTAGTTATATGCAGCTTAGCTTGAGTTGCTCTTCAGCCTTCTTTCTTTCACCCAGGGGCTCATTCCAGTGAGGAACTGAGATAGGTGAGAGATTGGACTTTTATGCCTTATGTGAAAAAGATAATGAGTAGGACTGATCTCAGGATTTTCACCATTTAATTTGTGTTGTCATACTGGTGATGCCACGGGCCTTGCATGACTGAGCTTTATAAGAGGGTAAAAACCACCAGAGGTTTGGAAAGATGTCTTGTACTCAGGCACTGTGTCATGGTAGATTGACACAGAACTAAGTCGGAGCTGATAAATGAAGACGAGAACTCCAGAGATGGAGAGTCTTGGAAGAAAAAAATAATTGCCTTAGATTCTCCCAGCATCTGTAGCAGTGAATATTTCACATGGTACAGTAGTGATAAGCAGAGCCATTCAGAGTGAAAGTAAAAATTTTTGTTATAATATATTTTTACTGAATAAGAGGCAAGCAGCAGTCCTGATGTTAGGGAGCCAATATCTTAGGCATTCCTGTAGTCATACTCTATATGAGCTGCACTCCGCAAGTGGGCTCCAAAGAAAGTCATAAAAAGTTGATTGGCGTAATTCAGTGTTGTTTGGTGATTTTCAGGATTAGATCGATGTCCTTAGGCCCGGTCTAAAGCAAATGTTATAGAACAAAATACTTTATAAGTCACTCTGAAGGTCAGAAATCTGATTCACTTTGTATGAGGCTGGTAACCTGTTCAACCACCTAGCCAAAGAGTAGACTTTGAAAGTCATCATTGCCAGACAGATTACTTGAGGGCTCTTTGTCCTTTGTCAGCCAGGCTGGCATTATGCCAGCTTTAATGAAGCATAAATCCCAGATCCCTGTGACTGCTGCTGCTGGCTATGGATTCTGCCAAAATGCAGTATGCCCATATCAAGTTTCCTCAATAACCTTTATACATTTGTAGACTATGGAGAGGCTCTGGCAAATCAGGAATAGGAATAGATTTATTTTTATTCCTCTGATTCCTCCTTGTATATTTTATGCAAGGTAAAAAGAGAAAGTGTATTACCCTGGAAGAGAAAGCAGATAGGTACTCTCAGCTCTCAAATGATGAAGTTGATTAAAGGGAGAATGGAACTTTGCAACACTCTCTAAAAGTTTTCCACATTGTAGGGATATTTTACTACTTTCTCCTTCTATTTTCTCTATTTATTTTCTTTTTCTGCCTCAAATTAGATGGATTTTCACACATAGGAAAGTATTTTCTCTCAAAGAGAGAAGTCAAGACACAATATATTCCGATACTGTCCCCACTGCAGTCAGTTTAAAGGAGCTGGGTTCTTGTAATGTGATTCCAGTAGGGTGTCCTGTGGTTTTTTGGGCTTTTGTGGGTGGTGAAGTGTGGTTCAACATCCTAGAACAGGGTTCAGTTTATAAATATTTCTAGATTGGCTCTTCTTGCGTCGTGCAAAGTTCTTGGTATTAAGGCATATAGAAAATTCATAAGAAAAGAGAAAATATTCAGTAAATACTGCCATGACTAATTCTGTTTTAAAATTATTCCCCACATTGCAAGCACTCGTTAATAGACTAAGATTAATCACAAAATTCCCAAATTTTAAGTGGACTGGTCCTGCTTCTAAAAGGCATAGACAATATGTATTGCCAGATGAAGGTAGAAATCCCTAAGAAAAAGAATTAAGCAGACTGACTGCTCTGCCTCAAGGCAATACAAATTTCTACAATCCCCAGGAAATAAGCAACTTACTCCTACATCCAGCAAAGTGTGAATGTCATCCTAGGTCTTAAGACCAAAAAACACCAGAGTAAAAAAAACAATAAACTGGAATAATTTATTTTAAGAAAAAATTTGGCAATCCTCTAAAAATACATAAATTACTCAGATCTAAAAAACTAGAAAATAACCCATCCTTTTTCAGTTTTCTGAATTATATTATGAAATGTTGACTTTATGCTTTACCATGCTCAGATTTCTATGTGGAGAAGTGTGGTGGTGGGAAACAGTTTTTCCCCCTGCAGTTATAAAATGGTAAAACCCCAGGGGGTGGTTGAGAGCTTAAAGGAGCAAGCTAAGGTTACTAGCTCTCAGGTATTAGTCGGCTTTATGTTGTTGTAAAGCGTTAATAACAGGTGGTGACCCTTGAAGTTTTGAAGTTTTGCCCAATGAGCGCTTCTGCAAAATATAAACATATCACAAGCAAACGGAAGAGAAGTTAGTTGTAGTTTTGTGGTAGAAGTGGTAGCCACGTTCTGAGGCCACGAGGAAGGGACTCGGAGCCCCTTGGGTCCTCTGGGGCCCCCCCAGCCCCCAACTGGGGGGGCTGCAGGGACTTGGAACAGCATAAGGCTGGGCTAAGTACCTGTAGCTGAAAGCTAAAGAAGTTTTCTCCACCGTGAGTGAGCAGAGACAGAGCAGCAGCAGCGTCCAGAGATTGTGGCTAAGAGCCAGCAGAAGATAAGCAGCAGAAACAGCATGCAGCTGAGCAAGGAAGACACAGAGTTGTATGAGAGTGCAGAGAGAGAGAGAGAGAGAGCAGCAGAGAGAGAGGAAGTTGGGGTAAGAACTGAAATAAAAACCCCAAACTCCTTTTGTGACCTTTCCTAAGTGGAAAGGATGGACTCCTACTGAATGGAAGTCCTAAAACTGCAGCAGCACTGCAGAGAGGAGCTGAAAAGCTCAGAGAAAGAATGTGGAGGGGGTGACCTTGACCCCCCCCGCTACTTGAGACAGAGCACAGAGCTCTGTAGGGAACTTGAATCCCCTGAAGATAAGGACCGTCACGAAGACCCCTGCGCTTCATGATATGACGTGGTGATAGCGCCCTTTGTCCTGGGAAACACAGCCCACAGAGGAAGACCCTCCTTTGAAGACGAGTGGCCGAGGGGCTTGGATACCCCTCGTGTGTGCTGGCAGAGATCCAGCTGCTGCATGAGAAGAGCGAAACAGATGAACCTGCTGCCCTAGAGACATTGCTGCTCTGAGAGCGAAAAGGATCTTTCCTTCTTCCCTCCTGGACTTTTATTTGGAGGGGAGAAGAGATTTGATCCATTGTAAATGCTATTCTGTCCTGGTAGAGATAGCTAAGATTGTATATAATGTATTGTAGCATTTATTTGTACAGTCATTGTAATATATATTCCCTTTCCCCCATTTTGAGTCTTGTGTGGTTGTCTGGAAAAAAACATCTCACACTGGGTTGAGATGTGGGAGGGGCCTTAGACTAGGGAATTGGATTTTTTGGGGCTTTCAAACCATGACAAGAAGTCACTGCAGGTTTGATTTTCACACTTTTACTGAAGGAACTTTCAGGTTCCAGACTAGTGGTTAAAAGAATTTCTGGAAGGAAATTGTTATGACTGATCCCATTTAATTTCTGAAAGTCAACAGATGACCCCTGCTTCTAACATATCCCTGTATAGATCTCTGTAATGTCAAATCAGATCTTCCATTATATCATTATAAAAAGAGACAATTGTGAGATTCTTTTCACAGAATTCTGGTTTTCCCTACTATTCATTTTAGTGATTCTCACACTGATTCTCACATTGATTCTCTTGGCTTTTCGCTTTAGCCAAGAGTACAATAACACACTAACACACTAATCACTCTGAAAGGAAGCTAACACAGTGATAGCAGGGGAAAAGTCTCTTTTTTAATGATATGTGACCGCACATCTGAAACACAGAAAATAACCTTCTCAAGCCCAGCTATCTGATTTTCAGAACTTCACTCCTAGAGAAACCACTAAACACAATGAATATTTGGCATCAGTCTCCCGGCTGGTGTATCCATCCTTGCCAAGTAGCTGTCTAAGTGAATAGAATATTAGACAATGATTTTTTTTTCTTATTCTGGCATGAGCAGGTTAAATGAATTTGCTGAACTGAAAGAAAATGCAGTCAGTCTGGGTTAGCTCAGTTGCCAAACTGTAGAAGCATTAAAAGTAAATGTAGGAGAAAAAAGAGTCGCAGATGCTAAGAGGCCTTAAATCTGTAATCACTGATTTATTTTCTGGAAAACTCCCAACTGGTGTCTTAGCTTTTCTTCTGAAATAATAATTAAAAACACAATCATCGTTATTAATTAAAATAAATCACCTTGCCCGAAATACCTTCTCCGAATGTGTGGCCTCTTTGAGGAGGGAACAGGCAGTTATGCATCTGTGCTTTCTTTCAACTTGGGAATTACTATTTCCTGGAGCAAGGGGATCTTACAAAGAGAGAAAAAAAGCTCATTTGGGAAACACAAAAATGCAAAATTATCTTAATTTTCTCTCTGCTGTGTTCCTGGGACAGCCTTCAAAAGGGGGCATGGTTGGACAGGATAAGAGATTCAGGGCTACGTTGGGAGTCTTTGTAAAAATTTGAAGCTCCTTATAAACCCTCAGAGTGATCAGGAACAGCCAAAGCTCAAACCATGCTTGACTTCACCAAGTGTGACACCCTGAAGAGTACCACATGCCAACCTGGCACAAGGAGATAAAATTCAAAGCTGGCACACATATCAAACAGCAAAAGTTCCTCATTAGGCAAAGTGTGGATCTTCCACACACTACATCTAACTCATTCCTGGAAATGACCTCAAAAAAAGAGTTCAAATGGAAGGATCCTTTCAGCTAGTGTGTAACTCAGAAGACTGACTGTGAGATGTGTATTTGCCTGCTGTTTTATAGTTGAGCCCAGAAGAGTCAGGGAACAGTCAGATGTAACGCAGAAACATGTTCTATAAAAAGGGGATAAACAGAATTAGCTAAAGAAAAAAGGTGAAAAAAAGGGAAAATTATAAATCAAGGAAACCAGATCAGGTTTTCATCCAGTCTCCATCTCCAAGCAGGAAGAGGAAGAAAAAGGTATGAAACAAGCACACAGTACTGTAAGAAAAAAAATCACATCCAATTTAATTCTGAATTGAATTATTCTAAAATTTATTTTATTGACATATTGTTTTGTAGGCTTACACACAAACATGAAATAGTTCTCTTTTATATTAATGCCATTAACGAATTATTGTATTTTCATAGTACTCCCCACAGTCTAAACACAAGTTTTTGATTTCCTTCTACTGTTAAGTTCCTTTTGCTATGCAGAATCAAGTCTCTTTTCAACACATAATTCATTTGAATTCAGGGGATGATTTACCTTCAAGCACTAAGTAACTTCCTAACCTATACTGTCCATCTACAACACTGTATTTTTCCCACACATGGCACAGCTTCTCAGTTGCATTCTGCAGGTCACCTACCAAAAAATGATCTCTGAAAGGCCTAAGCCATGAGCTGAGGTCAGTGCAAACATCTCTTCAGAACTACCTAAATTTTGTATTCAACCCTAGTGAATAATCTGATCTGACAAATGAGCAGACCAAACATGACAAATCAGCTTAGAAAAATTGTAGAATAAAAGTTAAAAGTTTCATTGCTTAACTAGTAGTGTATTAGCCAGCATGTCTTACAAAAAGATCACATACAAGTCTTTCAGAATGTTAGTTTTCTTTCTCATGTTACATAAGAACATTCTAAGAATTGAAATGTATTAGAATAATTACTTTATTAAAGCAACTACTTTGTTATAAAGAATGCAAAAAAACTCCTCAACAACATAGGCAGAGTCTTTTCCCTGCTTCCTTAGTGTTAATTTCTGCTTTCATACCCACTTCAACAATTGTCTTGTGTTTATCAAGTCTAAATTATACTTATTGTCAAGAAAAAGAATGTCGACCAGTCTATTTTTATTAAATAGGATGTAAGTTCACGGTAATCTTTAAATTCTTTGTTGCAATAGTAACAAAGGCATCAATTGCTCTCTACCATTGACACTAAAAATGTTTAATTGATACATTGATATTAAAGATGTCTTTATTTTATTTAGCACAACGGTGGAGAGTGCAGGTTAAAACAGATGGAGATTCCTCAGAGCCACAGGAGTGTAAAAGGACCCTTGTGATTTATGGCTCAAAGGGCAAAAGTGATGAGCTTCTGCTTTCTCCACAAACCCCTGGCTATGTGTGCTTTCTGCCCAGAGCAACTGATGAATTCACTGTAAGTCATAAATATACACTACTACACAGACCTTACCATGACATTGCTGTCTAGGCGATATATATATATATATATGTGTGTGTGTGTGTGTGTGTGTGTGTGTGTGTGTGTGTGTGTGTTTACAAAACTAGAGTCATATATATTTAATATTACTGTGGTAAAAAATGATGCAATTATTTACAAAGATGGAATGACACAAGTTTAGGTCTTGGGTCACCTCCTGTTGGTAGTCCTGTTCTACTATAGCAAGCTCCAATGTTCTCTTTGAATTTTTCAGTGCCTTCAAGGGCAGAAAAATGGACCCTCTTTTGTAATTTATTACATTCACCAGCTCATCTTGCAATTTTTTCTAATTCCCTAAAGATTCCTGAGCCAAAGTTCATTCAAAAGGCCATATATAATTATTTGTGAATGCAGAAGATGAAGGATTGGGCAGCACTCCCAGGGGAGTTCAATGGGCTTTGTTTTCCTTTATGTCCATCTTTGTAAAGTAGTATCCACTCTCCCCCAAGATAGTTCTGTCTCTCAGGCCAGCAGGCAGAGAATTTTTCTGGATAATAATAAATCACTGGAGAATGCATTCATGCATATAAAAGTGTGATGAACTCTGCAGCAATAGATTATATATGGCCACTATTAAAATCAACCCTAACACAGTCCTGACTGCCTGTACACCTGACACGCGTGCTGCTGCTTTGAGAGGATTCATCTGAGACATCTTTTTGGTGTTCACATTCTGTCCTGGCTTTCTAGGCTAAGTCACTGCAAATTCTGTTGATTGGCATGAAGTACAGCTTCTAGCCAGCAAGATGAGAGAAATAGCTTGCAATTCAAGTCAGTTTTATACAGCTCAGGAAGACTTTTCAATGGCTGCAATAAACATTCTGAAAACAATGGCAAGAGTACATTTTGAAAATTATGCCAAAGCTTCATTTTAATGACCCCATTTAGGCTGAATTTTTAGTTTAAATAACAAGCTAAAGCAATTTAGGAACTTTATGGGGAGTAAATGAGAAGATAAATAGCATTTCTTAAAGACAAGAAAGCAACTGCTTATCAAAAAACACAGGAAACACACTGGGCAACAAAAGACGCTTCAGAACTGAAGAGGTCAGTAGAGGCAGAATCTGTCTGCAGAGCAACCACACCAGCTGATTGAATTTTAGGAAGCATCATTTCATAAAGTAGACCTTTGCTGCACCCAACAAGTTGGTAATTTCTCAAATGGCGTGTATTCCTCTTTAAGGCTGCCTTACTTCAATGATTGGTACCAGGAGAATGATAGTACCAACGACTGGTACTAGGAGAAACTAGTAATGCTGTGTGTCAGTCATGGTTGTCCCTCATAGTCCACTATCCTAGGCACCACAGTACTTTATCCATCGTACCCTTCCACCCCAGCACCTTTGTGAATGCTTGTTTAGACTTTGGATTGGCTTTGGGTTAGTGTTTATATTTTCCCCATAGATATTTGTGTCCTTGTTTTTATTGCTTTGTATGAAGGAGTTAATACTATTTGAGCATTATTTACTACACCTGAAATTTTATCTCTTTGTCACATTGCTTATAGCACAGCTTACAGAATAAGCAGGTCTGATACAAAGGGTCATTTGGGGATTCACAGATATCTCCATAAATACCTTCATATCTTCTTTAGGTGGTTGAGCTAATAAACCCAGTTTCTTTTTGCTCTCCCTTTCTTTGTTCTTACTAAGACTATGCAAAAGAACGCAGAAGCTTTGCTCATGTTTTCTCACTGTAGCAGCAGGCTGGAGACATGAACAGATCACAAAGAAGACAAGCTGTGAATTCAGCTTTTCAACAAGCAGAAGTAAATGAACTTTCAACCTCCCCCCAAGATCCTAGTCCTAGACTAGGACATCCTTAACAATATAGTGCAGTAAAAAGAACAACAGGTTATGTGCTATGAGCAGCTCACATAGTTTTGAAACAGTAAGCTAAATTTTGGTCTCAGAGATACATTTATTGAACACTGAAGACAGAAAGACATCTAAATTCCTAATTTTCCAGGTGCTCTCACACAAGTATATGCACAGATGTGTATCATATTCAGAATGATTATTCAATCCAAAATATGTCCAGCCAAATCCTATGAAAGAACAGGTGTAGTTTAATTGCACATAGCAAGCATAAGGAATGAATTAAAAGAGAAAATAGCAGTGTGCTATGAGGTACAGTTGGGTTTCAGTGGTCTCAGAAACCTATAGCATAATGTTTGAGCTGCTTAAATAAGAATAAACTTAATTAGAACACCTTAATTTTAAAAAATAAATTTAGAAATAGGCGAATGTGTCAACGTTATGAGATTTGATTGAAGATAGCATGGCAAGAAATGAGTAAAAGTTTTTGTCCTTGATAGTCTGGTGATGGTAAGAATCAATTGTTGATCTCACATGGAATAAGCAGATTTGTAAAGTATATAGATCTTTCTCCCAGTCATCTATGTTTCTTGATTGCATGCAGAGTAAGCTTGCCAGAACATGCCTTTGGAGAGTCCTATGTATTGTGCACATTCTCTTATTCAGAGAACCATAAAATGTGAAGATACATAACTGGCAGACTGTGAGATTGGGATCCCTAAAACTACTCTTCAAAACACTAGCACAGGTAGTACAAAATGAGCAGTAGAGCTCTGCAAGTAGGACTGTTTGTAAATACACAGTAAATATGGAATTTAGTTTGTGTTAAGAACCATGAGGTGACAGAAAGTTTCAAATCACATAATACGATACTCCATGTGTTTTACACAGTATGAGATGATGTTCCAAACAACAAATAGCAGGATTTCTAGAGTATATGACAGAAGGCTCTTCATCTGAATTTTAGAGTGCTTTGACCAAACCTTATTAACTAGAATAATTTATGGGTTTTTTTCCTTTTTTTTTTCTTTCTTTTTTTTTTGCAGGGAAAAGAATTGAAAAGAATTAAAAAGAATCTAATTTAAATGTACCCCCAAACAGTGAAATTTACAAAGCTTTAATTACATTAGGCATGATGTTTTTGAGAAACCCTCTGTGAGTCAAAAATAAAAGATTTAAAATATTATGAAATTCTGTAATCATCTTCATCAGTTACCTGTCTCTGAGATATTCAAAAGTCCAGTGGCTTTGTCAGAGCCTTCTCTTGATTATGAGACATGCTCCTTTCAGTCATGTGATAGAAAAAATAGTGTTGTTTAGTATATGACAAATCACATCCAACTCACCTAAAATTTCAAGTTCTGAGTATTACATAAAACTGCTCAGAAGAAATAAATATGGAAACGTTAATTAGGAAGTTATAATAATGAACAAGGTAAAGTGTCCTCTTGCAAATAGTCTACAAATTTAAAACAAAGATATTCACTGGATATACTTTGATATACACTGATATACTTTGTGATGGATTATAAGTCTATCTCTGCTTCGAAGTTCATGTTAAATCAATTAATAGACATTGATGGAGGGAAAAGCAAATTATGGGATCAAAGACAATATATCATGTTCCAAAGAAAAACTGTTCATATTAAATTGCTCAGAAAAGGATTTCAAAAATGATGTAATGGTAGCACTGGGTTACAGTGATGGAGCTGAACAAAAAAGACTAGTACTGGCCAGAACTGTGGGGGAAAAACAAATCCCTGAAAAAAAGGGAAACATCTAATAAACTCAGTTGAAAATAGTTGCTGTTTTAATTCCACAGATTGTAAACTGTATGATAATTAGTGCTTTCTGGTTCAAAGGCAGTCACAGAAATAAATGAAGTTGTGATTCTAGAAACAAAAGGGATAATTGTGGCTTTTAAATAGCCTGTCCTGTATTCTGGGATTATTTTCCTATATATCTCATCTATGCATTTCCTACAAGGATTTTAGCACATGTATTTATGGCAACTTAGAAACCAATAGAATATCAAATTTGGGTAGCAGAAGGCAAAGTAAAATGTGAGGTACCTTGTCACATAAAAATAACCAAGTCCTGTACTTTTGCAACTCCCAAACAGAGAGCTTTGTGAAACAAGTTGTTCAAGCATTTAGAGTAGCTGTGTGTTAGTCATGGGGGTCCAAGTACAATAAAGAAAATCTGCAGGCCGTAATTTTAAAAGTCTGTAGTCTGGTTCTGAAAGAGAAGAAGCAATAATTTTGTTGCCTGTGAAAGGACCATAGTTTAGATGTGCACTCTCCTCTCAATGAACCCAAATAATTCCCATTCAGCTTAATAAGGTGGAATGCATATTTTACAAGGGATTAGTCCACTTAGTTCACCATAACTAATGATACATAGCTAATGATATCCTTTGCAACACAGACAGCATGAATGAAAAAATCTTGACATGAAATTCTGCCCATGTATTTCCGTTTTCATAGTGCAGCACTGGAGACCAAGTCAGGAACAGCCTTAAGTTCTGTAAGCACGAATGTGTACAGACAGTCAGGGCAGGTTAGTTTTGGAGGGAGGACAAGTCTAATGCCCTCTTCAGTGTAAAACCAATGCTGTGTGACTGCTATGAGTGCTGTGGAGGTACAGTTCAGGAGCTGAGAGGTTCCATGCAGCCTCGGGGCTCTTACATAGAAAACAGGAAGCATTTCTTCCCTGGTCCTTAAAGAACAATGTCTTGAATATTGAAAATTTGTAGGAGTGGCATGCCAATCACTTATAATACTTACCTTGAGAAATTCAGACTGAAAGGGATCTTTTAAGTCAACAAGTGCAGTTCCTTCCTACCAAAGGCCTCTCTTCATAAGTTCTACATCATAAACAGTTCAAGTTCCTGTAAAATGGTTTGGGCATGTTGCTTTATTTTCAGTTCAGTTCCTCCTCATACTTTGATGTTTTACTATTTCTTATTTGCATGACAAGGGGCCCCCTGGTGGTCTAGTGGTTAGGATGTGGCCTGGGTTTGATTCCCGGTCAGGGAACTCCTCCAGGCAGATGGAGCTCATCAGCCCTGTAAGGCCATCCATCTAAGAGAAGGTCACTCTAAACAAACCTATGTCCTGAGGACCTCGCTGCCACCATCCGAGCTCACTCGGCCCCAGCAGATGAACCTCAGGATTAAAGGGTGGGCTCAGTTCAGCACACACTGTGTCTCACCTAAAAAATCCACTGCGCAGGCTCGAAGGGTAAAGACCTTTCCCAAATCTTCATTCGTGAAGACTGGCCATGATACTGATGATGATGATGATGATGATGAATTTGCATTACAGTTATTAATGATGGTGGCCAAGTCTTCCAAAATTATAAACCCACATTTTTTATATGGTTCCTCTCTAGTAAGAATAAGGTAGCTGATGCTTCCCTACATGTATATGTCCACTGTGCAAATACACATGAACTACCTTTAAGCAAGCGAGGTCAGCAGTGAAGGGCTGTTAAATTCAGAGGTCTGTTGAGAAGCAGAATAAATCATCTGTTAGGAGGTCTGTGCTCTATATCAGGAGCCAATCTGCTGCTGATGCTGCTAATCCCAGGGCATGACTGTGCAAGACTAACTTCAATTTGTTGCTGTGATGTTATAGGGTGCACAGAGGATTTACTTTCTGGAAAGTCACCAAATCTTATGTTGTGACTGGTGTGAGAAAAAAACCCCAAACAATATGGGAGGAGAACAAGGCCATTGGCAACATTTCCTAATTTGATCCTTCTTAAAAATAATTGTTACCTTTTAAAAATAAGTTCTGTGTTGTTTCACTCAAAAATCACTTTCCACCCAGTCCTTCTTGCAGTTTCCCAGTGAAAGGCTGCCACTGTTCAGAAAATTTATCAAGCAGTGGTTAATGTCATGCAGATCATTAGCACTTCATGCAGTTTAACCATCCCAGTTCCCACAGCTCTAGGTTGGATGGTTTAAGAAGCCCACAGTCATCAATTAGTTATTGAATTTCCCATAGGTAGTATTGGAACAGGACTCTGTTGTCCTGCAGAGTTATTTCTGTGACATTCATGATTTATTTTTTATTCAGCAATATCTCCTCTCTTTTACAAAGAATTGGTTGTAAAGTAGTGTCATGTTCTAAACCAAACCATTTAGCAAATGGGAATTTAGTTAAAACTTTCTAAAATTTCTTCATCTAAAATTAAAATTCATTGAAAATTTCTTCACCAAAGGAGTTGTCCAGTATTGCAGCATGCTGCCCAGGGCAGTGGTTGAGTCATCATCTCTAGAGGTACTTAAAAGAGGTGTAGATGTGGCACTCAGAGCCATAGTATAATGGTGGGCTTGGCAGTGCTGAGTTAATGACTGCACTTGATGATCTTAAAGGTCTTTTGGAACATAAATAATTCTGTGATTCTAGGCTAATAGTAAGCATTATTAAACTAATACCTCACTTTGCTGATATTAGAACCTTTAGTTGTAAGCTAATGCTCTCTCTATCCAGTAGGGTCACAGCTTTATGTTAGATTTGTCAAAAGTGCCTAAATGCACAGGTCTTTCTAATTTTAACCTTGACCCACTTATAAGGGAGAAAATCTCACCCATGATCATACCATGAAAAAAAGGATTAATTCTCTCGTCCCACATATCTCAGCCTCCGATTCAACTTTTCCATTGGTTAATGTTAAATTTAGGAATTCTACACAGGGATTTGGGAAAATCTCTGTAAGTGAACCAGGCTTGACAGCACATTCTTATGCTATTTGTTGCAGTTTGAGACTGGAGATCTGGGAGACATATACAAGATTCGAGTCAGCTGTGATGATGTACCAGGCTTTCAGGGTTGGCATCTGAAGTCTTTTTGCTTAGAAGAGTTACACACAAAACAAGAGCTGAACTTTGACTGTAACTGCTGGCTTACTCTTAACAGAGAAGACAAGGAGCTGGTGAAAGAATTCCCTGCAGTCACCAAGGACCAGAAAACTTTACCAGGTAAAACCACTGAGAAGATACAAACACTGTAAATTAACTGCTCAAAAATAAATCAATACCACAGATATAATACAGTGCTTTGTCTGGATTTGATATCTTCAGTGGCTCTATTGCAACCTTCTTCATATATGCACTGCAAGAATGCTGACCACTTAAAAAATTTTAATTTTACAGTTAAGTTGCATATTGAGTTTTACAGTTGCTAACTCTTCTGCCTGATTCTCATTGTGAAAAATTGAACAGTATAATTATACTTTTTTAAAAAAGCACATGTTTAAAGCCATGGAAATGATTTGTTGTAGAGTTACTATTTAATTACTACTCAATAGCTTATAATAGATTTACTTACTAACATAAGTGCCAGAAGAAGCCCTCATTGTACAAAAAAGTTCTTTTTTTTTTTTTCTAAGGATTAATTTTTTGCCATGCAGAGAGTTTCAGGGTATATTCAGAGATGCCCTTGGAATGTGAAGACTTACAGAAGAACTGCATTTGTTCAGAAAAGTTAGCAGTTACACATGAGATAAAAGTAATTAGAGACTTCACTGCTTTTTTAAACTAAAGTTCCAGAATTTTCAGTCACTGAAAACCTCAAACCTATTCACGACCTTAAAAGAAAGTATAGTGTTACATTCGTTAAATGTTAACTCAGGAAGATTGTACATTAAAAATGACATTTGAAAAATTTTGGTTACTCTTTTTGTGTGAGCATGAATATATATGCAACTTAATGATATTCTGTAAGACCCCAGGCTCACCCCATGAGTTCATTGAAGGGCTTTTGCATCAAAAGGATGTAAGGCCCCAAAAATCAACCTGATGGATTCATTAGAGGGGCCTTAAGTTCTTTTATACCTTGGGGCCACATGAGGGAAAAACGTGACGATATTTTCAGGAGGTCAAAATAACACACCTCCCTTTACCAACTTTGGAAAATAAGGAAACTTGGCAAAAGCTTAAAGAAAACATTCAGTCAACATAAAGTATTTGACAAAACATCAACTTAGCAAATTCCAACCAATCCAGATTTGAGAGAGAAAGAAAGAATTATGTCTACTGCCTTAAATCCAGTGTAGAACCAACTACCACAAATCCAAGAACAACAGAGCCGTGACCACGTGGAAGCCTCGTGACATTTGTTGGTTTTATTTACTCTGGACTAATGTGGCCACCCCCTCCTCAGGTGGAGCTTCCAGTCTGTCAACCATGTGGGATCTGGGTTAGGGGTTCCAGGGGGTGTGGTGTGGGACAGTGCTCCTGATTTGCCAGTGACTGACAGCTGCACTGGAGACTCTCAAGGAGGTGAGGTATGGAGTCAGAGCACCATTCCACCTTGGCAAAACCGATCTGCTCCCCTCCTCCCCCTAAGTTGTTTTGAGCCGGTAATAATTTTTTTTTTTAGGCTCTCACGTCTTCATCAGAAGAAAATCCAATCTGACTGTAGAAGTTCATTTATACAGAAGCAATATAGAGACAAAGAGTTTATAGTTTCCTTCCTTAATTTAATAAGTGCATTTTGTAAAATTTTTATACTTGTATGTCATGTCATGCATCCAGATGCTATGTTACAACTATCTCTCTTATTCCAACATCACCTTCTTATTCTTCTTCTTCTTTTACCTGTGTTAGTCACTATTCACTGCAAAGATAATTCAGTTTCTAACAGACCTTGAACTAACTCAGATGAGTTCTTATTTTCCAGATCTTGCACAATAAAACAGAATTCGGCAGAATTTATCTAGATTTTAGTAGCTTAAGCTACAGAAGTCTAAATTGTCCAATTTCCTTCAAATTTCTAGGAAAATTAGTAGAAAGTTTTCTTTGAGCTCAGCATTACAATCACTGAATAGCAGATTTTTTGGTAGCTGCAGAAATAAAAACAAGCAGTAGTCTAACTCTGTGTTGCTGTTTTATTTTAAATATACCTTGTACTTAATCAGCTTTTTATTTTTCTCTTTCTGTACAGTCTGTAAGTATGTTGTCTCTGTGCATACTGGCGATCGCTGGGGAGCAGAGACTTTTGCAAATGTTTATATCACTCTCTATGGCAAAAGAGGGGACACAGGCGTGAGGAAACTTCATACATCTTTAACAAAAGGAAGAAAATTTCAAAGAAATAAGGTAATGTTACAAAAATGTGGTCTTACATGTGCAGGGGTTAGCACTGCCTTAAGTGTCACTTAATACCTGCTCTGAACACATCTGGCTACAGATAGGTAAAAATTTTGAAACATTCACAGAATTTATCTTCCAGATATTCACAACAGACCAATTTCAGTGTTATTTAGTTCTTCTGGAAGAACATTCCCACATGACTTACTCGTCAGTAAATTTAGACAAGAGAAAAAAATTCCACTTAGAGAAGAGAATGCACATAAAAACAGTGTAGAAACACTGTTTCTACAAAAGCAACAGACCAAAAGCAACAGAATTCTTCTCTTGTGAATTAGACTTTCTTATTAGAGGTTCCTTCACTGAACATTGAAGTTTGAAAAAAACTCACTGCCAAAATGTACATTGTCAAGGAGAGGTTTAAATTTCTGTGAAATTATTTTATTAGACAATTACTACAGCACTTGTTAGGGTAAAAGTGAAATCACTAATGGACTGAAAACATTTCTAAATTTCATTCCTGTGTATTTCTTAGAACTGTGCTTGTATAGAGAAGATATCACTCTGTTGTAATTATTTTAATTTATATTCATGTACAGATTTATTTCCTAAAATACCTTAATTATCAAAGTTAATGATTTCTGCTCACAATCTGCTGTTGGGTTCTAACTGTTATTAGAAAAAAAGAAAGAATTTTTTTGTCATATGAAAGTACTTTTAATGTTAGTAGCAGAAAATCTGCTTCAATACTTTTATTTAAAAAGTAGCATAAGACTCTGGCAACTACTGTATTTTTTAGAGATCAGTTTGCTAATATATTCTTTTCAATTGCTCTAACATCCAGTTTAGTAAGTTCCTACTATTGAATTAATGTTTTATTGGAATTATAGTGTTAATTATAATCCTAGACATTGCTATTTAGCTCCAGTTGTTCATAACTTTCTAACTTTTGCCAGCTACCATCAGGTCCATCTGGCCCTATACTGGGCCTTATATGGCTTTCTTACAAAACAAGTAAAAATTTAGTGGGGCATGTAATTTGTTTCTTTGCATTTCACATTTTTCCTTTTCTTGTTTTTGTGGTCCCCATTCTCATCCACTGCTCATTGAGTTTACTTCTCTTTTGTCTTCCTCTGCCTTCTCCATACTGCTTCCCTTTCCATCTCTTGTCTTTTACTCTCCACTTTCATCTTAACTTCCTCCTCTCTATTCCTTACTCTTTTCTTCATTCTGTAAGGAAAACAAAAAGACAGGCTTTTCTGACTATTGGAGAAGAATTTATCATCTATCTTGCAGTGAATACACTCTTTTAGATATATACATATATGTTTGTATGATAAGTTTTAGAAACTAGAAATACCCTGAAAGATAGAAATTTGATAAGAACCAAACTCTTGTCATAACTGTCTGACTGTCAGAAGATTGACAGTTTCATATTACATTTTAATGTAATAGGAAATGATTGATGCAATGATCCATATTGTCCGAAGGTCAAATGAAGTTACAATGCACCATTACTGATGAATGTAGGATTCAATGATGGGTATTATCAGTGTGAGCCTTTTTAGATTCAGAGGGGAGATGTTATGTAAAACATTACAAAAAAGCAGTCATAAGTTTTCAATCCTTGCTGAATCCTGACCTATATTTTCCCTGAAGTTCAAGAATATTTGAATATTTGAAAATTCTGTTTTATTGAGTATTTCCCTGTTTTTCAGGTGGATTCATTTTTGGTGGAAGCTGTTTCTCTGAGTCATTTGCAAAAAGTGGTCATAGGACATGACAGAGAAGGCTATGGGGCAGGGATGTACCTCAAGATGGTAACAGTCAAAGAATCACAAGATTCAGACAAAGAATGGGTCTTTCCATTGTGGAATTGGCTTGATACTCATTTGGGCTTATGTGAGACTGTTTGTGAGGTTGTAACAATTGGTAAGTTCTGCAAAACTGACTTGACTGTTCATATATACATACATATGTTTGGCTACAGCTCTTTCAGACCTCTATAATGTGCTCATTTTATTGAAAGTGTGAATTTCAGTTTGATCTTAGTGTTATAGCAAAGCCACATCTCGTAAGGTCAAAGTTAATATAGTTCCATCTTATCAGTGTGCTGTGTATGAAACACTTGCTTTCCAAATTAAATATAGCACGTTGCAAAGAGAGATATAAAACAGAGCTTGGGATGTGCGCCTCGTGGGGATAAATAGCTTAAATTTTATGCATCACTTTTCAGCTTGGGATCTCACTTGAAATCCAAAGAAAAGTTACTTTGGTGAAATGAGCCTAGTCTTTACCTGTGGTATTATTCCATAGCATGAAGGTGTAGTTCTGGTATTCTCAGTTTCTGCCCATTTCAAAATTACTACTACACCACAATTTGTGCAAATCTAAACCTGGATGTACTTGGCAAAAGAACACTTATAGCAGGACCTTTAGTCTTTTAGAACTACTAAAAGATTTCTTCCTTCAATCCTGTGAAAACAATTCAGTGTAAAGGAAATGAGATACAAAAATTTGTCCAGAGGGAGTAAGATAGCTTAAAAATACAAGGTGTCCACGATACATGATAGATATGCAGGTATTCAGTTGTGTGGTTTTTCCAGGTTATAGAAAGTACATTTTTCTGAGCTATTCCTCTCCATTAAATAATTTTCCTTTCCCCCAGAATTAAAATGAAGAATAACAGTAATTAATGAAGAAAAAGAGAGGGACATAGTAATATTGATCTTCTGAGGATCTGGCAAATAATTTTGTGTGTTTTTTATGGACTATCTCTCAGTCACACCATTACAGTACATATTATACTGCTAGGGTAGATCCAGTTATGAGTGAAGTTCATTAGAATTGTTCATTTTGCATTAGGTGCCTACATGCTACATATAGCCAGTGCTCCTAAATGATAAATTAGTTTTAGTAATATTGATTGCTTTTTTGAGAGCAATTGCTTAGACCTCTAAAAGGTAACAGAATGTTCCCTTAGAAATTACTTCCAAATATGACAAGGAAAATTCATTGGCATCAAAAAAATGCATTTGAAACTAAATTCTAAACACAGAAAGAACATTAAGCAGTTAAATTCTTGGGGGGAAAAAAGTTATTGATGTGTTATTCTTAGTGAACAGTTGCTATAGATATAACAAAACCTGTAAAAGGAGCTTTACTTGTGTTGTGTAAAAGCTATGGTCCTGCTACGTTATGCCATTCTCTCATGCTGTCATCTTTCCTTTCTCTTTGATAATTTTTAAAGGTAGAAGATTGACTTTTAGTCCTGAACCGCCTGAAATCAACATGAAATCATCAGGTCTCTGGACAATGGTTATCACTGGGTCTGACTTGAGCAATGAGAAGGATCCAATACGCCTCTCTTTTATCTTCTACGGCAATCTGAGTTGCAAAAAGTTACCACTTCAAGTCACGGGGAAAGCAATGCAGATCAAAGTACTTCAACCTTTCTCCATTGCAAGAAAAGCCCATGAATCTTGTAGCCAATAACCCACTTAATTCTGAGATAAATTGTTTCTTTAAACTAAACTACCAAATTGATTTTTAAGTCCCCTGTGTAGTTTGGCACAGGTCATCATTTTTGTTTGTAGATAGCAACGTTTTAACAAGGGTTTTTGAACGAGCAGATCCTCCCAGTGTCTCATACTGAGAATGTTTAAGTAAGCGAATTGGTCTCTTGGTGGATATCACAGTATATACCATGCTGCATGCACTGATTTACAGGCTTTGTTGATCTCACAAAAGTAAGCAATTTGTAAGCATACAATATGCCACGGGTTACTGTAGAGCTTTTGGGGCTGATGATGGGGAAGGAAGAATCACTACTTCCTCATGAGTGGAAGAGAAGGGTCAGACACTGGTCTCTTCTCTGTGGTGAACAATGACAGGATCCAAGGGAATGGCCTGAAGTTGCATCAGGGAAGATTTAGGTTGGATATTAGAAAAAGGTTCTTCACCCAGAGGGTGGTTGGGCACTGGAACAAGCTCCCCAGGGATATGGTCACAGCACCAAGCCCAACGGAGTTCAAGAGGTATTTGGACAATGATGTTGGGCACATGGTGTGACTCTTGGGGATGGTCCTGCGCAGGGCTAAGTGCTGAACTAGATGATCTTGTGGGTCCTGTCCAACTCAGCATATTTTGTGATTTTGTGATTCTATGATAAATGGGATGAAGCCTACAGAAAGTTTATTTTTCTTTTTTATGTAACTTATTCATCCCTGCCACCACGTTTCTCTGAACAAACTGCTTTTTCTAGAATGGTTTCTCTCTCTCTCTTTTTTTTCCCCATGTTATTTATTGTCACCTTCTTTTTCTTCTTGGTGATTGAGCTAAAAAAATAATTGTTGGGTTTTGAAGATCCACTTTTCTTTAATGAAAGAGGAACTAGCAGACTATACTAGCCACAACATGATCCAAAATGAAAAGTACTCAGAAGGTTTTCCTAAGTTCTTTCCAAGAATCTCTGGTAAATACAAAACATAGTGTGAAACTGGAAGTGCCCTGTCAGAGGAAAGGCTGAAGTCAGGTCACACGCACTTCTACTATCTGGGCAGTATTTGAAAGGAAAGAGCAGAGGACATAATATGAGAAATAGTGAATAGGAAGAGGAAAAGACAAATTCTGTTTTTTCCCTTTTTTTCCCCCATAGAGGGAAAAAATAATTTTAAGCCAATATTTATAGTATTTGAGGCCTCCTCTACCTACCACAAGAAATGGTATGTCATAGAGATGTTGCATTATCCCCAGGAAAATTAAAGTAGCTCTCCTTTGAATTTATAGTTAATTGCACCATTTTTATACTAAAAGTTGTAAGAAATATTTCCGATAATGTTCAAAATTTTAAAAATCAACCAAAGCTTCTATGCCTGAAAATAGTTTACTGAATCAATGCAATATATATGAACACTATGCCTTGTTCTAAGTACAAATTTCAGCAGTGACTGCTATTGCTTTTTCCCTGATATCAAACCTCAAGCATTCCGTCTCCTCATTCACATTATTAAATCAATTTTGTATTGACTAGAAAGGGGAAAAATAGTACTAGTTATAAATCTGCCCCAATTCTTTAACTACTGAAGTTTTTTCAACTGTTGCATATAGCTGCCAACTACATTTGTTCTGGCACAATTAAAATGAGATCCATTCATCTTCTCTTTCTCCTCACATAGGATGAACTGGCAAATATTGGCTCAATACACAAAGTTCAAGTAACTGGCCCACATAGCGAGCTAAAACAGCCATGGCACTTAGATTTACTGCATATGAAACACATGGGCACAAAGGAAGAGATGTATTTAGCTTTTGACTGCTGGTTCAACCCTAAGGAAGATAAATGTGTGGAACTGCCGGCTCTCTATGCAGATCAGGAGCCTTCGCCTGGTAAGCTATGTTCTTTTTTGTTACTGGGGTCAGGATCTGTCTCTGGAATACCAGTATATCTCTTTTGGGCCTAAAATACTGTGTGAAGATTTCCATAAGTATTTGATATTAAGGAATATAATGATTTTATACATGCATTTATCACAGAAGAAAGCTGAGAAAACAGAAATCATTGGTAGGAGGATTATGACAGACACTCTAACTGCTGACACCAAACATAGTATTTGGCTTCTTTCATGTTAAATGATGTTCCAGTTTTGGCTCTTGATTATTTATTATCTCTTCATATTAACACTATGTCAGCTGAAGGTGTGTACAAAATATCATCTACTCTGTGATATTACCTGTATCTTATTCACAAAGAAATATATAGGACCTACAAACATAGCAAATCTTTTAAGAATGAATGAATTGCAAAGATCCCCTACAAAGCAAAGGTAGAGTTCTTAAAATGTGTTACAATTAGCCAGCAAAGAGATATCCAAACATTTCAATTGCACTGGTGTTTTATTGATGTCAATGAGAAATTCATAATACATCAAGTAATATTCTACAAAAGTATATATTAAGTTACATGTTAGTACCCCATCTGAATGGTATGATGCCAGAGAGATGATTAAGTGCTTTCTGCCACTCCCTCCTGGAATATGCTGAGGAACAACCAACTGCATACTGATAACCTGATCACTAGTACTTAGGAACAGGCTCCCATCTATCCAGCTCATTAGAATAAAGAGGATTGATCAGGATAGTAAAGACGGTATATTGAAGCTTTTAGTGCCACTAAGAGGTTTATTGCTAGAGTTTATAATACAAAGAGTGCTCTGCTTAAACAGAAACTAATAGAAAAAGGTGGAAGCAGCCCAGAAAAAGGAATAAGATAGACCACATGAACTTTTGCACACCATTCTCTAAGGAATGTTCCCTAAATATTTCATCAAATTAAAAGATGAAACTTGAACACAAACACTGAAGACCTTTTAAATTTCTGGTTTAGTGTATGTTTAGGTGATTTAAAAAAGTTAGCCACATTGTATTTATTTACTGAAAAACCTTAAAATTTTAGAGTTTTGATCCATCAGATAAAACAACCATTGGATGTTGAATGTATTGTGTGTTGGATGTACAATCATGAATTGTAAGTAATAGTAATTCTAGAGATAGTTAAAAAGTTCTATTTCCTTAATTTATTTATGAAAAAATGGGACAAATCATAAATATTGACAATTATTTTCTGAATGCAAACTTGTTAAATTTTTAACTACATATAAAAAAATCCAGAAAAAAAAAATTCTAGAATACAGTCCTCAAAGCCTCTATTATGCTAAGAACCAAATGGAGATACATTATTCTGATGTGTAAAGCAATTAATTTTTGAAGTATATTAGAAAGTTAGGGTATTTTTTCTTGGAAAACTTCTGGTAATAGAGGTGTATATGCTTTCTCTCAAAAATTATTCCACAGATGGGAGTATCTGCTAACCTAGGAAGTTTCTCACAAACTATTTTGTGGAGTCCAGAGGTCTCCAACTGGAGTTGTTAATATCAGTTTTATTCTTTGTGACCCCAATACTAATTCAGTCTAAAATTTATGTCAGCTTCTTCCTTGTATTTCAGTTTCATTCCTAGACACCCCCACCCAAAAAAAAAAAAAAAAAAAAAAAAAAAAAATAAAAGTATTTAATCTCCTATCTTTAATTTATGGAGTGTTTTTTCCCTTTTTAAATGAGCATAACGTGATCACTTTCACTCTGTGTTGGCTCACATCTGAAACAGAAGTTTTATCAACAGGATTGGGAAGAGATAAAGGATGACAAGGCTGAACAAAGCAGTTGTCTTAATAGATCTTTGTTGCTTGGGTGTGTTGTTCATCTGGCAGAATGGTCCCAAACTCATTCTAAAAACTATTACCCTATTTCCCAGCATCTCTTTTGTGTTATGACTCCTTTCATAGGAGTTACTTTGTATACTGTTATTTCACTTATATAGTACAAAATTAATGGGAAATATTTGTTATGACTGCACTGAGCTTTAAATTATGCATCAATAGATTCAGCAGATTCAGCTGAAAATACTGACTCAGGAAAAACATGAGATACATTCTTAATTTTCAGAGCCTATCTCATTTGAATATTACTTGTATGATTAATGCTAAGCTTGTGATTATATATATTAATGATTCTGGACAAAAGCAGTAAAAATGTGAGTGCTGTGATTTCTAATCCACCCCAAATGAGTGATCACACCTGTGGACCAAATTCTTTTGATCTTATTCACTCAAGTATCCTTTTGACTCCAATGAATCTGCTCATATGGCCCAGTAATACAGAAAAGACAACACTCTAAATGAATAATACAGAATCCTACCTTCATATCCTAACTCCCCTGAAAGCAAAAATGCTATTGGCTAAATGCTAAGGTGTCACCTGGACAGCTCATGTGCTTTCAATTATCTGGAACTCCAGCAAGAGCACGTCTGTGTAGCTACGTTGACTTTAATGCAGCTATGTTGCCTCTCACCTGGCAGCGCACATTTAACTGCCTCAAAGAAAGGAATGAGATACATTAGGGCCCCAGTTTCAGAAAACTCCTGTTTTACTTCTTGTCATCAAACATGAGTGATACTATCAATTACAAGTACTTTCCCAGCCCTTAGTTTAAATTATTAAAAAAAAAAAAAATCCCAGGGGAAGTCCCTGAAGTGAATAGTGCTGCAGTGAAATAAAGCTACTTTTCAGCAAACAGATTTTCCCAACCTTCTTCCCCATGTAGTAAAAGATAAAGAGAAACAAAGATATTTCAGAAGTTTATTGCAATGAGCACTCTTTTATTAGCAGATTGATAGCAACCCTTATTATTTAATGAATACTTTTAGATATTAATTTTACACCCTTTAATACGCTTAATCCAGTTATGTGATCTCTTCATTTTAGATGTATAAAGAAATAGCTATATAAGATGTCACAATATTTGAATTCAGGCCTTTTGATTATAACGCTCAATATGAATAGCACCAACTTGTGAAAAGAGCTGTAAGAAAAGCTTAAAAATAAATATCCTCAGAACATTTTTTTTCTCCCTGTTTTCCTATCACCTACGCAGGAAAAAAAATGACAGCTTTAGCTTCTGGGTGCAGGGAATCATTCTCAAACCTACTAGAAATTTCTTATAATTATATCTTTTTAAAGAATGTGCACTTTGGTTAAATTTGGCCATTTCTAACTTGGAATAAATTTGATTGAAGAAGCAAAATGTCCTGAAAATATCAGATGTTTCTAGGATGTATACTTAGATATTCATGTATCCTATGAGGTGCTTTACACTGAAATATGTGTTTCAGACTTAAATAATGCGTATTTAGTGCTCTCTGGCTTGTACCGTCAATTGTGAAACTGAAAGTGCTTCTTACTTTCTCCTTGGTTTCATGTCTGTCTAAAGCATCACTCTCCTTCTTTGCACACATGACTCTTCTGGGAAAGCAGCTGTTGTAGAGCCAGCCAGGTTCCAGGTAGGAACAAGTGGTGGAGTGAGGCTGGAAGACTTTGTGCTGCATGTAAATGTCACACAGTCTAGATGTTGTCTATGCTTTACTGCTCCAGTGATGAAGGTTGTGGGAGTTTGGGCTGATAGTGGTAGTCAAAGATAGCTCTACTTGTAAAATGTTGGATTTTAAGGCTGCTCAGTCCTTAAAAAAAATCTGTCTTGGTGCTTGTTCAGGAGGTAATATAAGCATTCTTGAATACATTCTTGGTACATATGCATTGCTCATTACCCATGTACTGAATGTGACTTTGCATTTTACAGTGGATAAAAATGTTTTCCTCCTTATTAAAAATACTAGAAAGGTGTGTTTTACAAACCTGTGTTGCTGCAAGATAATAGCTTTTTTTCTTAGGCTGAAGAAATGATGCTTGTGTTTGGAAGCAGATGAACATTTAGACCATCTGACTCCTAACTTCTAGTGTCTATCTCTAGAATATATGAGAACTTATTATAGGTGTTTTCTATGGCACCTGCCTTTCCCTGCTGACTGCATAAGGACCTTATTCCTAATATAGCCACCAAAGTTAGATTCCTAAATGGACAGCACCAGCTCATTACACAAATGAGCATAAATGAACACGCTATACAAATGAGATTTATTATAACTTGAATAAGAACACACAACACCAGATGAAAAAAAAAAAAAGCAACCCCCAAAAACCCCTTCTTGTTTTTTCCTGGATTCCTTCTTGTTAAAACGATGCAAATAACAATAAATATTGAGATTGTGACCTGTTTCTGTGTTTTCTTGTTCCTTGTTTCCATGAAAAACTCCGAAGGTAAAAGAGGTCATTTAAAAAGCGACATAGGAGTTTTCCATGAAGTTTCTTTAGTATTAATGCAATCTTGTCTCATCTGCATCACTTCCCTATGTATTGTGTTAGAAAAAGGCAAGGAAGCAGAAGCTTCCTATAGGGGTCATAGGTGTCTCTTCTAATCGCTATACTATGACCACAGATGAGAAAATCAGGAATGCTTTCCCTTAAACTCAAAGTTCACTTAGCGACCTGGATTTATGTGTTATTGTGCAGTAAATGGAAGGTTCTTTGGAGTCTGATACAAAATATGGGGAGGCTTTTATATTTATGTGCTAAAGCTGATATTGAAAGCATTTTTATGTCATCATTTCTGTTTCACATTAATGGATTTTAATTTAAGATTATTGTGATAGTCTGACTAGTGATAAATAGAAATAAAGACAGGGAAGGAAGTTACAAAGAAAAATCAGTAAATAGTCTTAGAAAGAAGAACTCAGATTTCCAAAGAGGATGTAAACAAGACATTTTTCTAAAAAAGGAATTTTTTACCTTGGGGGAAAGAGACAGTACACAGGAGATCCTGTGCCTCAAATAGCATCCAGGGGTGCTGATTTTCTGGGAGTGGTATCAGAGCAGAACCAATCTGTATTCTGCAGATTGCCATACAGGGAGATATACAGGGGGAATATGTTTGGGTTATGTGTGTTACCAGGACTGAAGAAACCTGTACTCCTTGTTTGGTGGTACAGTATGGGATTTGGATAAAATTTGCAATGCTTTCTACTGGGAATTGTTACATAATGCAGATTCTGGGCAAGAAGAGAATGAATATTTTCTCCTACTGACTTTTTGAGTTTTTATGTCTATTTTTATTGAAGTTGTGGAATACACAATCCATTTGCACACGGGAGACTTGAAGAAAGCAGATACCACTGGTGAGGTTTATCTTTGTATACAAGGAGAAAAAAGTTACTCCGGGAAACGATGGCTTAACTCGAAAAAGAGCCTGATCACTTTGGCAAGAGGGCAGGTAAAACAATGAGGGAAAATGTAACCGAATCTGTGAGTGTCTTTTTGTTAAAACTTATGTATACGGAAAGCCTTTCATGGGCAGAGTATCAAAAATACTTAGGTTTTATATTCCATATAGACATAACTTTCTCTTGTAACTTAGAGGTGATTGTTTCTATAGATGACATTGTTTTAAAGCATCTTCAGCATTGTGCAACAGTAAAACAGTTCAATTGATGAAGTAATAATGAGTTGGACTAAAGGTTCTCTGAGAGTTCTGTTTTAATATTTCAGACTTTTAAGTCCAGGAAGGCATCACTGCTTTGTTAAAACATGCCTGATTGGTAGAACTGATGCCATTTGTTAGGATATCTTGCATTTGTAACCACTCAATCTAAACTAGTCCATGACCTTTTCTTGTTAACTTTCCTGAACACTGTCAGTATTTCAAGTAGAGTCTTATCATTTCATGTTTCCAATTGATCTACTCACCTATTGCTTTCAACATGGTAAACATATTGCTGCTTTTTGAGATTAAATGGCTTTTCCTAGAAGAGTAATTCCTGGAGTGATTATCGGCATAAGAAAAAAGTAACTAAAATTTCAGATCAAAAGGAAATATCTATTTCATATCAAAAGGAAATGTCTAGTTGATACTTTTCGAGACCCTACTGTTTGTTTTGAATTTAAGCTTGGAAAATTTTTTTGTTTTAAAGAATTCATAAAATCATTGTGAAGTTCATAGGAATCTTCTTTTGGGGAGGGTAGGAGAGAGTATTTCACTGTTGCCAGCCAGTCTAGAGTAGTGTCTTTTCTGGTGCATAAATCTGGAGAAAACTGCTTGCAATATGCTTCATTTATTCTTTATACATGCCTCTGTTTATTTTATCTACTTTTCTTACTATTTTGAAAGATTCTGGAAGATACAGTATTGTTGTATGAAAACAAAACCAAACCTTAGTCATTATACCCTCTGTATTCCTGTATTTTCTTTCTCCGTTCTGGAAGAGAATATGTGTGCCCAATGTCATGTTCATCAAGAACTGATCAAACTGGTAGCTCAGACTTCACAAGAAAAATCTGAAATTAATGATGACAGAATAGTAGGGCTCATCTTGCTTTTAATGGAGGAAATTTTATAGATTACTCTTTTTGGTGATATAGATAATAGTCCTTTATAATATGTCCTAAGGATAGTACCTTAGAGAAATCTAAACAAGACTGCTACAATGGATAAGGTATGAGTATAGACTGAAAGAAAGACTGATTCCTGTTTCTTTTAGAAAACTAAACTATCCTGACCTTTTTAAAAAATTCTGCATTTGTAAGAATGTGTTACATTTTTGCCAAGAATAAAATTTGTAGAGAAAAGTATGTGAACAATAGTTCTTGACAATAGTTCTTGACTTCTGTGAATACTCAGTTTTGTGGAAGTGCAACTTATCTGCAAATTCACATAGATTTTTCTGTATAATCCAGATTCTGTGTCAGTTTTTGAACGGGCTTGTTCAAGAGGCTAAATCCTTCCTCTGAAACTTTAAAGGGTTTTTCTATATCCTGGGCCATAGCACCTTAGTCTTTTTCTTATAGAAAAGATTTCAAGTAACAACTGTTTGGGTTCATTCTGTCACAGTTTTCTTTACTCCAATTTTCCCTCAAATGACTAATGCTACATTCTTAGTAATTGCTCTTTTTTCCTAGATGATTCTTGTCATCAATATGATTCTCACAGATAGTGTGAATTTTGGGGCCTATACAACTATGGGAACAATACAAGGGTTTTACTGTTTGTTTTCAAACTAGTCCCCATTGTTGTATTCAACTTGCATTTTTAACGCAACCTTTCCAAGGCAACTTCTGTCTACAGCAGAATAGCTCATAAAGTCACACAAAATAAAAGTCTTAGCTACGGAGATTTAATTTCACAACTGGTTTGCCAAAAGAGTAGATGAATCCATTAATGAATAATGTTTCCAAACCTCACTTCTCCAGGCCCAGTTCAAAAGATTCAACAAAAAACACTAAGTAATATGTGTTCCCAGTGTCAGTGTGCATGCTTATGTGAGCTTTCCCATTGATTATTAAGATGACTGCACAAGGAAGTAGATTAACATGTTTATACAAGAAGGTGAATACACTATAAAGATTTACAGTAGGGAAAAAAGGAAAGTTTCCATGAAGTCTATTTATCATTCAAACCTGTTGTATGCAGAAAATTTGACCTTTTACAGAGATGATTTCAATGAGGAATCCTTACCCTAACAGCACAGTGGTTGAAACCTTCACAGATACCATTCACTTAATTCTCATTTACTTGCCTAATTCCTAATTCCTACTAAATTAACTACTAAATTTTAGTGAAGATGAAATTGCGTCAGATTTTCAGAATTATTAGACACCTATTCATCAGTTTTATTGCAAGTTAGGTTCTGGATCAAAGTAACTTTCAACATACTAGTACTTGATCTGATTCAGTTATTTCAGTCCATGAAGGTACTAGAAAAAAGTGTTTCCAAAATTGCTTCCTATCAAATAAGGCAGCATTCTGAAATGCACAATTCATAGTATTAACTGGATCAGAAAAGATCAGTTATAGCATGTAATATTTAATTATGAGCTCAAAGGCAATGAAACAGCATAAACGAGATAAATTTTATTCTGTTGAGATACAAATCAGTGACCAGACACAAGGCTAAACTGATAAATATTCAAGAGCAGATACATATTGAGTTTTACTAAAATATAATTTTCATTATTTTCATATTGCAGGTGGATATTTTCAAAATCAAATCAGTATACCTTGGCAAATTGAATCAAGTTCTGGTTGGATTTAAAAGTCTAAAAAAAGGTCAGCAATTTTTCCAGTTAATGTAAGGTAATGATAATGTAAATTGTTAGATTTAGGAGATTCTAGAACTTCAGAAATGTCTTAAATTTAGTATTAAAAATCAGAAGTGTTTTTTTTTCTAAAAAAAGTTCTAAAAAATATGAAATTGCACTCCATTTTCTACTGTTCATTATTTCTGTGGATTATACATGTCAAGTATCCAGATCCAGATTGGTTTTACTAAAATGTGCAAAGGCATCCTAGGAAATGTTGTGAAAATGCAAAATGGTAAAATTATATGTGAAACTCTTCTCCATAGTTACTATGTTTTAAGAATTACAGTCAACAAAGTGGGTTTTTTTTCCAGGAAGCAATATGACACCATACTTTTGCAGCTTTTGTAATTTTTGTCTTCCTCTCCATTTTTACATTGTGGATAATTTAAAAAAAAAAAAATTAATTTCAAGTCTAAATACTTCTAGATATAGATAAGAAGATAAAATTGCTTCATTAGATTGGTAAGTGGAAGAGGGAAGAAAGGTTCTTCTGGTCTCATAGCTTTTTTTCTTCTAATCCATGCAAAATATATATTTTTTTTTAAGGGATACTGCATATGTGAGGTTGAGTGGCAGATAAAAGACTGCATTTTTGCAGCATTTTTTCTCGTTCTCCTTCCAACTCCATGGCAGCTGTTGGAGATAAAGAAAATAGCTTATTTCTTAAAAATGAATAGCAACAGCAAGGAGCATCATGAATTGGTATTTTATTCAATCCTTTGGCTACAGTTTAGGCCCATTGTTTTTAAAGGTAACAGAACAGAGATTCTACAGATATTCTAGTTGTGTAGATAATGTTGATAATGGAGACAAGATTCCTCCAGAGTATGATAAAATGAATCTCTAGTTCTTTCATATTTTTAAAAAAACCCAAGATTATAAACTGACTCTGTGTGTTAGACTCAGACAAACTGATTGGGAGACTATTTCCCATGTATTTCCTAGATGGTAACATTAAAACTTTCATTCACTTCACCAAGACTTGGAGTGTAACCAAATTTACTCAGAGATACGACTCTTCAAATGCTTTGTTTCCAAAGAATCAACACAATGGTCTCAATCAAGATAAAACTTTAAGCTGAAGTTTGTGCCTTATTAGTGCCTCACCAGAAAGAAAGTTGTGTGTTGAGTGAATTTTTTGATGTCTAATGTCATAGAAATCCTGATCCTTTTTCCTTTAGGATACTGATAATATAATTTCCTATGGGGGACTTCTTGTATCTAAAAATCTCAGACAGAAGCCTTTCCATACTTTGAGATGGTAATAGAAACAAATCTACCCCTACATTTAATTTCACAAGATCTGTAAAAATGTAAAGACTTCTTCACTTTGTTGAATATTTTGGAGCATAGTGGAACAGACAGAAATATATATACACACTGCCAACATATATTTTCAGAAGTCTTATTTCCTTAAGAAGTTCATCAAAAAACCACACTTTGCTGATTTGCCAAAGATAGAAACTGTGTACACAGAATATTTTGTTCTTAAAAGGTATAAATGAATAATGTCCCATTTATTTTCCATCAGATGAGTGGTTCCTGGAAAAAATTGTTATAAAAGAAGATTTCTACCCTTTTTCTGTGCATGTTTTTGTTCACAATGACTGGATAAATAAGCACTCCAAGAAAGATTTTGTAGAAGTGGCAATTCCACTCAAAGGTAATGCTAACAGAAGTGTCCTTTATTTGCATGAATCACTCCTGTGTGGCAGAGCAGAACACAATGGGTACAAGGCTACTTCACACTGTAGGCAGAACTGAACATTGGAACCCCAATGGTGAGGGATGTGGGCCTGGACCAAGGTGAATCGTGCCTTCTGTAAACAAGAAGGAAGAAATTATGTCTGGGATTTAGAATATGGAAATGGCTATATTGAAAGAATCTCCTCTGGAAGTACATTTCCTGTCCTTGGAGTGATACAAAGAAAATAGGCGTGGCTCCTATGTGAGTGTGACATGGATTTATGCAGCAGCTGGCCCGATTTTCTACCACTCCGCATGAATAATGAGGTTTTTGCCTCTTTGTTGCCTAACTTGCCTGTGCTTTAGCACTACCAGGCAATATAATCTTGTATCTTTTGGTTTATGCTGCCTTATAACTTAGACACAGGTTCTAAACATACTTTTTTTTTCATTGCAGAAACATCTGTGACGTCTCTTCTTGTGAAAAATTTTGATATGAAAAGCAGAGGACGATGGCAAACATGGGTGCACTGTACACAAGTACCAGAAGATGTTCCTGACATTCAAGTTGTTGCATTTGGAAGAAAAGGGAAATCCCCTGCACAGAAAGTTCAAAATCTGAGTGATAATCCTTTTTTGGTTGGTTTCTTTTTTATTTCAGAGAAGTCTTACCAAATAGTTCCAGTAAAATAAGAGTTGCAACCAATACGTGTGAAGTTGTGTGGAATGATTTTTTTGTCAGTGTTAATGTTTATACCTCCATGTCTTATATAAAAAGTGCTTGGAGAACTTATCACTTGTGGGCTAATACATATTTCTTATTAAATCTCTCTTTAGCAAACACCAAATTTGATGTGAGAAAACTCTTTAACTTTGAATTAAGACTAGTAGGCCTTAAAAGTAAGGCAATCAATGATGAAGCTGTTCCACACTTCCTTTACATTCTGCTTCTCAAACCTCAATTAATCTGTTTTCACTACTTAGAAGCTGTGTCTTTTTAAAATGAGCTTATGCCTGGGCAAATGTCAAATCTGTAGTTTGCATACAAAGTTAATGGCAGCTTCTGCACACCCACACACCTGGGTCACCCCTTTCAAAAGGTTTTTATTCTTAAACATGAGGAAATAAACCTCATTACCCATCTTTTGCGGAATATAAACATCACTTGCTTAACTGATGCAAAAGGAAAAGATACAAGCAGCAGCATATGATAGGACTTACGGATACCAGCCATCCTTTCTTTTGAGCACTAGAATAGCTGAGAATAGAACCAATACCCAAGGATAAGAATCATCATGAGTTCAAAATTTCATTTCAAATTTGAGAATAAAGATATGATGGAGAGGTTGTAAATAAGAAAACCAGGAGAAAAGGATAGTAATATGAATTTGGCTTGAAAATACAGAATCGATCATGCATTTTCTTGCTTTTGATGTGTTGGTCTAGGCTCTGCAGCCAATTCTCTCAGTTAAAAATAAACATAAATTATGATACAAAGATAAGTCCAAATTAACTTGCTATCTTAATAGGACTTCCTCACTCCAATATTAATATAATTGACTAGTGTTTTTACCTATTGTATTTATCTTTTTACCTGGGTTTAAGAGTAATGCAAACTATTACATACAATGTTTAGTTTATTTTTTTCCTAACAGTTGACTGTTGGTGATATTGGAGATATAACAAAACTTTCCTTTATATTGTCCGGTCCGTCCCTGAGAAGAGGAATTAAACTTCATAAGGTATTCCAAATACACTACATATACACTTGCAATATTCTTCAACATACCAACAAATAACTTTTGTTGAAAGACAGATGGTCTTTCGTGTGATGCTTTGCATCACACTAGCAAAGCCAGTCATTTTTTGTCTCTGTTACCTGGTATCAACAGATGACTGCCTACAACTTCCAGATGTCTTTGTGGGTAGATCTACCTTGTTTGCACCTGCTGAAGTGCACATAGCTATAGCGGTTCACTGATGTGCAGGTCCATCCTTGATTTCTTCTTAAGTGAAAAAAGTAATATCCAAAGTTTCAGAAGTTTCTCAGAAACATGGATTACAGATGAAACTGCAAAGGCTGAAAAGGAGACAAAATCTCTGTGTTCTTTTTGCCAGTCTCTGTTTTCCCTATTTTGGTTTTTCTAGAGGTATTATAAAAACTAAGAGTTTTTCCTGTTATCTCCTAGAGTCTTCTGAACATTTCTGCAAAAAATTATATAACCTTATGTATGTATTTTCTGTAAATTTTGAAGATTTATGTACTATAGAATGAGTAGCTTTTTCTTGCGTAAAAATATTTTCTGTCCCTTTCCAAAATGAAATTCAAAACTATATTTCACTTTTGTATAGAATATAGAAACACTATATGATTTGGAGACAAAGTTCACACTTAAATGTAATCTTACAACTAACACGAATTTGTCAGGTACCTTTCATTTTAAGGCCAAAGTCTGCATAAATTTACACACCTCATTTTTATGAATCCAGTTTCAGCAGGTAACCCTTAGTGCAATTTTAATACACATATGAGTTTGTGATATGTAATTGATATTTAATTAGGGTTGTACAGGGAGAATATTTTTGTATTAGAAGAATTTCTACATTTAGTGTAAGAAAATTCAGTTTTTGCAAGTATAAAATATGAGTGAACAATGGGCTGCATTTTTAGTGGAATTTGATGCTATCTAAATAAAAACATCTCTTATTTGATTAATTAATGGTTTAATTCTGGAAATGGTCATGGAGAATTGTTTATTTTCATCTTGAAGCCCTGTGACTGATCTTGTGAAGCACTGGACACAATGCATAAGCAATAATGAAAATGATCAGTCATTACATTTCTAGAAACTCGAGGGCAAGACAGTCTGACAAAATTTTTGAGTGGAGCTGTCAGATTCCCAATAATTTAAATTATATCATTCAATTATATAAATATTTATACATTTCAAAGCTTGCAATTGAAATCCATGTGAGGAAGTCTGTACTCAGGATTTCCAAACTGGTATGTGTATTCTGTACAATGAGCTCAAAGTTTTGCTTTTGTCGCTGGTGTCAGTACTGGCAAGAAGTCACCTCACTAATTTTGGGAATCCCTGCCTAAGTATTTCAATTACTGTCAATTACTTACTGTCTTGATGAAATTAAGTTTTTGTTTCATTTTGTTTTGTTTTAAATGTCTTGGATTTCTATTTCTATACATAGAGATTTTAAAGGCTGAAGAAACCATTCCTGTAAACTTGCAGTCATTAGCTATGTATTAAAGTTCAATACTGCATGTAATAATTACCAGAAATGTTTCTTCATAGGCTTGATAGATTTTCATTCTGTATTTTATAACCTGACGTAGGATAGAGTTTATGATCTGAGTTGTCCTCCTTTTAATCTAATTTCCACATTGACCATTTAGTAGCTAGGATATGAAGGCTTCTAAGACTATGCATCCTCAGTTGGTTTGGAGGTTCCAAGTTCACAAAATTGGTGCCTAATTTGTTCAGTCTCCAATGAATATTTAAAACCAAGTGGAATGAAGCTTGCACCTCCTACTGAAATTCATTCTTCAGATAACACATTTCCACAGGGAGCCCTGAAGGCCACTGGACACCTAATTTCTTCCAACTTTGAAAATCCTAACTGAGATGTAGCAAGCCACATTTAAATAAATAAAAAGTAGCAAAGCAACTGTTTTTGCAAAATGAACGCATGCTATTAAGATTGATGTAACTGTATTCATTCATTTGACATTCTAAATTGCCAACACATACAGGTCAATTTAATCTGTATCCTTCATTGGCTCTCTACAAATGGGTCTTATGCTTGTGTCAATATGCAATGAAGAATACACCTATAAACATCAGGCTGCAGAATTAGCAGCTTGCAGCAGCTGCTGTAACTCTTATACCAAATCCAGTAGCTTTTATGAAACGTGTGCAGGAGTTAGAAATAGGAAGAAATGTAAGTTTCTATTGGGATAGAAATAAAAAAATTAAGCAATTCAGATAAATGAATTTCCTACTCTGATTCTGTCTGCAGCTTCGACTAAAAGACCTGGATACTAAACAAGAGTTGGGCTTCCATACTGAAGCCCCATATCTATTTGGAGAAGATGGATCTGAGACTGTGACAGAGCTAGCAGCAGTCAGGCCAGACAAGCCACCACTCAAGGGTATACTGCTTAAATAAAAAGTAAATACATGAGCAAATGCATGCACATACACAAAATTGTAAACTGCCTAATGGGATGAACGCAATGGACAGATTGCAAAGCATTTTATATACGTTAAAAAACCAATCAAAATCATTTTTGAAGATTCATTCAATAAACCGGCATAAACCCTGTTGAGGTCTATATAGGCATGTAGTCAAAGCACTTTTTTGTTTTAAAACAACTGACATATTGTTTTCACTAGACAAAGTACCAATTCGAAAGTCTGAAAAATGTACAAAGCTGAATTAGTATATTTCTGTTGCAATTTTGAGAAAATGACTGATTTACACTTGGTGAGGGACCGAATCACAGATTAAAAAAAAGGTAGATGACAAGTCATAATGGCATGTATCACAAAGAGAAAATACAATCTTTTTTGAGGTTTTCTTCAAGGCCCATTCCTGCCCCAGAAGCCCTGTTACATTTCATCATTGTGTTTAAAATATGATAACATGTTCCTGTGTTCTGATTACATTTTATAAAATATTTAGAAAAGAGTTCTCATTTATTATACTCTATGAACAGAAGACTTGGTTAAAATATTTAAAACTTTTTGCATCTAATATCTAACCAAAGGCTAGACTGCAAATGGAAATATATCTAAAGAATCTGTTATAACATTTAATTCTTCACAGAACCCATAAAAAGTCCTCTGTCATGCTGCCTCAAGGAATATGTACTGTATAACTCATCAGGCAAAAGTCATGGCAAGCTATCCTTTGTGGTGAAGAATAATAATAACAGTGCATATTTGTATAAATAGCTGAGCCATTTCTCCTGGACATATTAAACTGATATTGGCCATAATTCTCAAAATGTGAGATCAAAACATAATTCAGCTGATCCAGAACAGAAAGTGGATTTCATCTTTTATGTCTGTGTTTTTTTTCTTGGTAAAATGTTAAAGTTGATAAATCCTAACTCAATTTAATAACTTGAATTCCCACAAGAACTCTAGGTTTTTTACAATGCCTGATAGAATCAGTGTGATTCTTTCAGGTGATTTCAGTGACCACTGGATAAGTCTAGAATTAGGACATCTTCTTCTGTCATGCAAGCATGGATTGCTGCATTGATTCATAAAGGACATTTCAGCTCTGATGCTGTGCTGTGTGCTGTGAGGTAGCTAGCAATCTATATGAAACTCAGAAAATTGATGTCAATTCCTTGGTCTTGAAATTGATCTTGTACCTAAAATAAATTGGTTTATAACGTTTGATAATTATGTTGCTAATAGTCTGATTTGGTAATGTCTTTTATCACTGTTTTTTCATGGCAGAAGTCCTTTACTCGATCAGTGTTCATACGGGAACACTGCCCGCATCAGGGACTGATGCAAATGTATTTATTACAGTATTTGGAGAGCAGGGAGATTCCTGTAAAAGGCGACTAAGGCACTCGAATTTTGAGAGAGGACAGGTTAGTACTAAGTTATTTTCCTTACATGTTTTTTATGTTATTTTTTTCCAATACCATATTTCTTTTTAATTATGAAATACAAGCATTTATGTTACACTCTGGTAACCTGTCGAAAGAATGTGTTGCTTACTAAGTAACCTGAATTGACATTACAGTTTAAGAATAGTTTCATTACCAAGAAATTTAAAATCCAAAAACTATCAGTAACAGTTCTTAGAATCTGGAACTGAATCCAGTGATATATAAAATTCTGTGGCTTAGTTTTCAGCTCTTCGTGAAGATGATATAGAAATATCAGGGCTATTTCCTGTGACTGCTCCTTAAAAATACATTTTTTTTCAAAAGATCTGTTCAGACAGAGTTGAAAGAAAGATTTTAAATGTGTTAGCTACTATATGTTAATTAATCCATTTATATATAGAATTGCAAACAGATAAAGATGCTTTTAAACATACTTTGTCTTGTCAAGATATATCCTAGGAGAGATTTTCTGGTCAACCTTTGCTAATTACCATAGTAATGATTGGATCTATACAACATGTTCACACATACCCTGGACTCAGATCAGGTATGACTAGATAGAATTTCAAGAGACCTTTCAAATGATCAATTTATCCTGTACAACAAAGCAGGATCCTCTATATTTCATACCACTTCATATGCTCTCTCATGGTTGAAATGCCATAATTTTCATAGGCAACATGTTCCACTGTTTTGGAATGTTGTTCCACTGCCTTGCCCTTAACAATTCTTCCTTCACTTCCTTTATAATGTCAAAATATATTATTGAACTTAGAAACTTAGAAACCAGACATGTCATCTTTGTGTTCCAGAGTAGTTGATATTTTTTTTCCATGAATTTGTATAAACCCTTTTTCTCTTTGCTTCTCTCCTTCTTTTATAGACCTCCCTCTTCTGCTCAACTGTCTTATTGCTGCATTGTGCCTAGTGTAGAAGTATGTTTCTTTAATCATCCTACTTAGACATTCCTACTTGTTTTTCTGACTCCAATAATACATTTACAATCTCCTTAAAAGTTTACCATCACTTTCTCTGCTTCTCTTTTTTTTTTCTGTGTCTAATTTCTATTAGCTTAGCTCTAGGTAGCATCTTCAGACATTTGTTCTAAGTGGACTCCGTGATATAATGTATAAAGCACACCTAGGTAGAACACCTATATTCATTTCTAAGCTCAGTCACTGGTTTACCTGGTGATCTGAATGTATGATTTTACTTTCCTTGTATTCCTTATTTCTCACTGTAAAATGAAGATCGTCAATAGTTTAGGCAAGAATGAAAAGAGGGAAACATATATATATTTCAAGGAAGTTTAATTCCACTTTCATTTACTACTGAGGAAATTAAATATATCTTTTAAAAATATGCTTAATCTCTTTTCATAGCAATAACCTACTGCTAGATTCATAGCAGTATTTAGCATCCTGGTGTCTAGTGAAATTACTCTGCATTGGGAGATATTTAATAATTTGCCCATGGTCTTCCCCCCCAAAATATTTAGGCATGTTTTTCTTTTCCTTTTCTTATAGTCTCTTGAAACCTTTTTTTTTTTTTTAAAGATGTTATTTTTGCAGAATCCTGTTCTCCTAGTCCAAAAAAAATAGGAAAAGGTTTGTGATATTGATTTTCTGGATTATATAATTAAAAATATAGGATAATCCTTGGCATTTTTGAGGGCAAATGTCTAGAGGCAATAAGAAGAGTTAATAAAAGACATAAAGACATATAGCTGGTGACATAATCTGGAAAAGAGATCTAAAAAGAAATAATTTACTCGGCACTTTCAAGGTGGTCGTTAATACAGAGTCAGTGGCACAGCTGTTTGTGTTAAAGAAATCAGAGCCACTGCATTGAGTTAAGCAGCAGAGTGCTGTATCTTCACAAAGAGATCCGTTGTTTTAGGGGAGCAGTTTTTGTGCTGTAGACAATGAAAGTGCTCTTCAGCTTAGGTATTTTATGTATTCGTGCTCTTCATTGTGCGATAGGTTCTTGGGAAAGAGTTGAGCAGCGAGATGGCAAAATGTTCTGATGATACTAAGCTAATAAATATGAAAGTTGGTGGCAGAGATTGAAGAAGAACCTCATGCAGAGTGAATGTGTAATAAAATGGTAGATTAAATCATTGTAACTGAATGAAAAGCAGTGGCCGTGAGTGGAAAACCCCTTAAATTTTCATGCAAAATGATGGGCTGTGAAATAGGAAAGTGACCTTACCATTAGGGTAGCTTTGTGACTATGTCAGCCCAGTGCCCAGTAGAAGCAAAACAAAAGGAAAATAGAACAGATAAAATTTTTAGAAATTATTACAAAAAGGAAAAACCCAGCCACTTCAAGGCAGAAAAGACAGTCATGCCTCCAAGTAAGTTCTCTGGTGCAGATGCATAATAGATGCTGTGTTTTGTTCTGATTCACTTGTCTTAAAAAAGTGCAAGAAGAATGTCAAGTGATATGAAATATCTTCCATACAAGGAACAATGAAGCAAACAAGTACTGTTTGGCCTGGAAAAGAGCTGATGAGAGGAAGGATGAGGGGGATAAGAAATATAAAATGGCATAGAGAAAATGAGCATTTCTATTTTCTCATGAAATACCAGGGCTCAAGAGCATTCAATGACACTTGCAGGTGGTAGACTCAAAACAAAAGGACGTGGCTTTTTACACAGTGTGTAATTAATACATTTTACTTTCTGGCACAAGATGTTGCAGATGATAAAATCCATATTGGTGCAAAAAGCCGTTGCACATTGTCATGGAAGACAACTTTCCACCGAGGGCTGTTAAGTGCAAAGACGCTATCTCTGGCTCAGGCAATCTCTGAATCACAAATTGCTAAAGCCTGAGAGACTTTATATTCAAGAAGCATCTCTATATATTTGCCCTGTTTTTCAACTCTTCCTAAGAAATCTGTTAGTGGTAGCTGTTGACAACACTGTATTGGATTAGATGGATCTGCAATCTAAAATACTACTGCTGGTCTTACGTTCTTTATACATAGAAGTACATCAATAAAAAAGTTGGAATGAGGTTTTAGTGAGAGTATCTAAGAATAGAAGGTGAAAGGAAGGAATGTAAAGGGCAAGCTGTCTTGAAAGACAAGATTATGTCAGCAATATGCCTGGAAAATATGGAATGGACAGGCAAAGAAAACAGTTAAGGAAACTTGAGACATCAAAAAAAAAGGATCTTTCTTGACTGATAAAGGACAGGAATATAAGGAAAAGCTAAGAGGGCAGAAAATTGCAACACAGTGTAAGAAAAAAGTGTGAAGTGGGTTTGCGAAACAGTTTAAATGAAATCATTTTGACTTTCATTAATTATACTTCCAGTAATGTGTTCAATGTAATGTCTTTATACTGAAGGAAAAAAAAGAAATGCAATGACATCAACCAAAAGTACATTCTTGCTAATGCTGAGGGAGTAGGCAATTTAATATATTATTATGAGAATTCATTGATAACAATGGGCAATTATGACCACTGTTGTCTAATGAATGTTAATTATTATCACAAAGAACGAAACTAATGATAGGTCCCTTTCTCGGACAGAGTTAGCTGTGAAGGAACATGAATATTAGCAATACAGGCTATTTCCTCTAAGTCAAGGGTCATGTAGACTGACAAGAAAATTATATTTGGCTTGGAACTACAAAGAATAAAATTAGAAAGCAATGAGTGCACCCAAAAAGTTGTTTGCAAGATGTTCCTCACAGATAGATCTTATTTTGGTCTACATATACATTACATGCAGGAGTATAACTTGCCATGGTAACTGTTTGATGAGATTGTAGATATAACAAGGTAAGAATGCTGGAAGTCCTAAGACTGTGATAGGAATAATAACTCCGATGTTTTCTTTTTCTGATCACATTGTAGAGAATAGTCTGACACAGGCAGTAGAATGGACCAGATGACATAATTCTTTCTAAAAATCATCTCTTCCTTTGTTGCTTTCTGGTCCTCATGCTTTTTCCTGCCTGGTGGCAAACTGGTTGGCAACAAATAAAAATTATAGCGTCTGTTTCTACTATCCATCTGGGTTTTTTTAATGTCACCCACACACATGCCCATGTATCTACCCACCCACTCATATTATCTCTCACACAGAACACATTCATTCTCTCACTCACACAATTTATTCATCCCAACATGCACTAGTGCAGTTGCCATTTAGCTTTTGTTTACTGGTAGCCGCAGCAATATTTAAACAGATGTCTATTTACATCTGAAGAGCACATCAATTCTTGCCTGTATGCGTGCACAGCCTTAGTTATAGTTTCTACTGTCAGTATCTTCCTTTGTTTGCACAGTCATCAACAGTGTCAGTATTGCTGTTCAGAGTTGAATAATACGACGTTTCCCATTTGAAAAATAGGATGTCTTAGAATGTAAAATACTTTGAAATATTTAAAAATAAAATGCGTTATCTAAATCAAGATTTAATTTACCAGGTCTCTTCTGATACTTGAAGCACTTGCTTTGTTTCAGTTATGAGGAAGTGGTTGAACTTCCATTTTCATGAGATTTCTGTAAGTTTTTTCCACCCAAAAATGTTGGATGTTTTTCATAATAAAGCCTGCAGTGATCATGAAAAATTAAAAATGTACATATTCAAACATCCACATAGTTTCCGAACAAGGTCTCCAAATATGAATGTCAGCCTATAATGCCTTCCCTTACTCTCAGAAAGGAAAAAATACTTCAGCATTGAAACGAGTCTGCCTTTTCAAACACAATCTTCTCAAAGATGGAAGATAAAATATATGGTTTAATCAGTTTGCCATTCTTTTTACCTCTACTTTCTCAGGTTTGTATTTCTGAAATGAGAGCAGTAGACCTTGGACAGTTAAGCAAAGTCCTTGTTGAGCACCATAATGTGGGTTATGGAGCCGGATGGTACCTGGACCAAATTGTCATCCATGAATCAGGCAAGACTGACAACCAATATGTATTTCTTTGCCAACAATGGTTAGACAGTGGAGTTGGTGATGCACAGATGAAAAGAACATTGAAACTTCTTGGAAAAGTTGGGAATGGAATGTTGACAGGAAAGATTTATGGTAAGGTCCAAAATCCTCAAAACTCCTTTCAACTTTTGTTTTAATTGTAGTTTATAATATATTTTGGTTATTCTTGAGACTAAAACCAAACTACAGAAACAATATAGTTTGAATGTGAATTGCATCTCTCACACAAATTGTCTCTCTAAACACTTTCCTGAGCTGGTAAATACAATTACAATATTCAGGGAAGAAAGACACAGAAGGGAGATATTAAGTGGTGGAGGCAATGAAGGAACTATGTTTTCAGTTGAAGCTAGAAAAAAAGCTGAAGCAGAAAGAGGTAGGTTGTTCCATATGGCAGTCAATGCAGAGCAGAAGGCTCCTGCAAGTGATGAAATCAGAAGAAGAGATACAAAAATGCTTTTAGCAGAATGAGATTTTTCCGTATGTTCTTATATTTGCAGAAAGCATTTGCTTTTATTTGCAGTTTTCTCTTTTACTTATATCAGTGGCACAAGTTCTTGCAAACAGCTAGTTGACCTGAACTCAATATCCTATTCTAATTGTTTATTTAAAAAGCTATGAAAATTCAGAAACAAATTAGACGGTGAAAACATGATAAGTCTTTTATGCTTTGCCAGAGTATAGGATTTCTTAGCACTCTCACATGTCTTTTTTGAAGAGGTGTAAAATGTTGGTTTGAGTCCATTTATGAAGTCTGAATCAGAACTGGTAGACCAAGCTATGTAAAGTTTAATCTGAAGGTGTGAATTTGCATTCTGTATCAGCCATTTTTTAAACTGATCTTTATTAATTTCTGTACTCCTGGATATTTCTTTTTATGTTCAGAGAGTTTTATATTACACATAGTTGCAGACAAAATTAGTTCACATATAGCCACCTGTAGTTAGTCCACTAGTGAATATCTCATATCAGCTAAGGAAACAGAAAAATAATGTCACTGAGACAACAGAACAGGATACCATGGAAATATAGGCATAGGATAAGCAGTTAGAGTAGTGTCAACTACAGAATAAGAAATAGCTGTATTGCACCACTGTAAGTACTCTAGGTCCCTAATAAGTAGATCCCACAGGTGTCCTACATAATCCACAGAGCAAGGCAGGCGTCTTCTGAGGCTAATTCAGAGCAGAAGCCCAAGGTTGGTCAAAGTCTGCTACATCTTTCTTCACTGATAATGTGAAAAGTGAGAGAAATCTTGCATCCTTGTTTATGCACCTTGATTAGTGTCTGAATGTAATTGTTATCTTAAATGTAAAACCATTTTCTTTCCTTGGTTTCCCACATACACATACTCCTCAATAATCTAAGTGCAGACTTGCTAATAATTTCAAGTCTGTGGTTATCAATACTCAGATCTGTATCTATTGAAAATCATTTCTGATCTGGGTGTATAAAACTCCAGAAATAATATGATAAGTAAGCAGAGAGCCTCTGAGAAATGGAGAAAAAAAAGGCTGATCAGCAAAGAATGACCTTAGGGATCAGAAAATTATTAAATTCCAAATTGAGTAAGATTTTATAAAAGAATTAAAAGAAATAATAAAAGTTCTTCAACCATTTACTTAAGAAAAGAACCTAGAAAGATGTGTAAATATACAGGAACAATAGAGTTCACACTGAAGATGATGTAGGTAAAATCTCTAAAGAAATAGAGTACTTTATCTCTCTTTTCATTAGGGAACTGTAATGTTGACCAGAGGATCAAAAATATAACTACTAATGGGAATGAGGTTATTGACAATCACCAAATCTGAAATGCAAAGAGAACTTCCAGTTTCATGTAGTCAGTGACAACCAGAACAGTCATTAATCCAGAATACTAAAGGAATTGGGAAACGAAGTAGCAGGACTAATAGCAAGGATTTAAAACAATTTGATGAAGACAAAAGGTATGACTTGACAATAATAAAGGTAATACCTCCCTCTAAAACATGGAAAGCATAATGTAGGTGAATATAGAATTAGTAATTGTTCACATGAAAAGCTTTATAACACACTTTGAAGAAAAGAATAGTAAAGATAATAGATGCAAATAGGAAATGAGAAAGAATGAACCATGACTTTACTAAAGATAGGATGTAAAACAAGATGATACTCCAGAAATATTGTGCAGTAAGACAAATGTAATAACATCTAATCTGTCTAAATTTCAATACTTAATTTTATTTGCTTTATGGGAAATTATTAGGTAATCATAAGAAAGTGAAAAGTAGTAGTAAAGGAAGAATTGTAAAGGCCTGGAGAAGAGACAATGAATATGCTAATGAAATCTGTTGGTGCTACAAAGCTGCTATCAGTACTATCAGGAGATGAAGAGGTTGTGTGATAAACTGAGAACTGGAGGAAAACAATGGTACTGAATTCTGTGGCAAAAAGCTTGTATACAATTAGGTGTAAACCCAACTAGATATTTGAGCTCTTAATTCTGATACACATTCCTAATTTCCATTGTGGTGTGCATGTTTTTTTTTCTGTTATTGTTGTTGTTGGGTTTTTTTGAATGAGGAAATAAGTAGTACCTTGTAGTCTAAAAACTGTATTTGACCTGTGTCATCATGTTTTGTAATGATTTCTGCTACACACGTTCCTCAGCAGGAGGACTACAAGAAATATCTGGGCTTGTTATACGATCACAGGATAATTTTTGAGGGAGTAATATGATGCAGCAATGGGGTTACTCTCACCCGGTAACATATGGAGGCATTATCAGTTCAAATCTAAGTGATTTACTACCTCTAGAGAGAAACCATGATATTTCACCAGGAATGCTATGTGCAATTGTGGCCATCTGTGTCCAGAAGGACTGGTTCAAGCTGGAATAGCTCTAAAGAGGTTATGATAACTGAGAATATGGCAATTCTTTGTTGTGAAAGAGTCTTGAAAAAACTTGACAGATTCAGAGTGACAAATTAAATGCTCAAAATGGACACAGTCATGATTTATAAAATTAATGGTGGTTTATACATCAAGGAGGGAGAAGTGTTATTTAAGCTAGCAAAGTTGTCATAAAAATAGATGGGTTTCAGCAGTCTATTAATGCCATTCTGAGAGAATTAAGAGATTTCTGAGAAAGAAACAAAGAAAGAATAAATTTTTAGCATAGAACTCTTTGTGTTGGGTTGAGCCTGGCTGGATGCCACATGCCTATCTAGGCCGCTCATCATTCCCTTCCTCAGCTGGACAGGACAGAAAAAACACAACAAAATACTTGTGGGTTAAGATAAGACAGACTCAGGAATTACTGTCACAGGCCAAACAGACTTGACTTGGGGAAATTAGCTGAATTTATTACCAGTCAAATAAGAGTAGGATAATGAGAACCAAAACCAGATCTAAAAACACCTTACCCTTCTCCTTCCTGGGCTAAACTTCACTCCTAGTTTTCTCCATCTTCTCCTATCCAGCTTTTCAGGGGGACAGGAAATGGGGTTTGCGGTCAGTTCATCACATGTTGTCTCTGTCTCTCCTTCCTCTTCAGGAGGAGGACTCCACACTCTTCCCCTGCTCCAGCATGGGGTCTCTCCCACAGGAGACAGTTCTCCACAAAATTCTCCAAAGTGAGTCCTTCCAACAGGCTGCAGTTCTGCATAAACTGATCCAGCATGGGTTCCTTCCTCAGGGTGCAGTCCTTCAGGAGCAAATCTGCTCCAGTGTGGACTCCTCTCTCCAAGGGGTGATAAGGTTTCCATGAGGTCATGTCCTCCTTCAGACATCCACCATCTGCTCCATCTTGGGGTCCTCCATGGGCTCCAGGTGGATCTCTGCTCCACTGTGGACATCCATGGGCCATAAGAGGACAGCTGCTTCATCATGGTCTTCACCATGGACTTCAGGGGAATCTCTGCTCCAGTGCCTGGAGAACCTTCTCACCCTCCTTCTACACTGACCTGGGGATCTTAAGAGTTGTTTCTCTTGCATTTTCTCACTCTTTCCTTTTCCAGTGGCAACTGTGCAGGTCTTTTTTCCCTCCTTTCTTAAAGACCTTATCCCAGAGGTGCTATCACTTTTGCTGATGCGCTCAGTGGCTTCTCACAAAAACCACCCCTGAAATTCCCCTACTATCAAAACCTTGCCATGCAAACCCAATATATTGTTTTATACTTAGTTAAAGAGAAGGAAGGAAACTGCTTTTAAACTGGATCTTGACAAATTTATCAGAGATTATACAATTTAGTTTAGGTGTTACAGCAGCGTATGGCACTGTATGACAACAGGCATAATCCTTCCATTCACCCTTCCTGGGCAGCTATACACTGATAGTTTAAAAGCTTAATATTTCTGTACTAAAGGGCTACAGTATCTTAGATTATGTCACAGGGGATATGATAAATTTTCATTTGACTTCTTTTTTTTCATGGATATCATTGGTTTCATTTACATTTAGTGTTCATAGATGTGAAAATGGTAGGTATTTAATATTATTCATCAAGTCATAACACTGAAGTTATTTTAGATGATTTCACAGATGGTGAGTACTAAATTTTTACCTTCACCAAGTCCTGGATTTATGGCACAGATTCTCACCTGATCTAAAGTAATAAAACTTTACTAAACATAGTTATATTAGGAGACGATGACTTTTCTGTTATGATTAGGAAGTGAAGTTTGGAAGTTTATGGTTTCCGTTATTCAAGTAACCTGTTTTACAAAATAGCTACTTGAAATTATCAAATCCATACTTTGTCTTGCTTTGCATAAACAGAGCTAATGAAAATATTCTACTCATTTCTGCCACAACCCAGGTGACCAAAGACTCGGATTTTCATAATTTTTTAAAATTGAAACCGTGATTTTGGTAGCCCTGAATTTTCCATATATTCTATTTACAAATATCTATTGAAAATATTAAAGCTAGCTAAAGCAGTGAGATTTTTTTGATGGGTACAAGTTTCTGATCTTCAAAACTGTCTTAATGATTAAAGGTTTAACTAAATATCTGTTCCATTTAGAGTTGCAGAAATTACTTAGGAACCTACCCGGTATCAGTGTGGAGTCCTTGTGAGTCTTCCGGGGACTGTCAATTCATCTATAATGCTTAAGAGACTAAATGCTTCAGATAACACCTAGTGAAAATACTAGTAGAGTGTTTCCCGTGTCTGTAAAGTAGACAAATCTATGGGCTCTTATACAGGACTATTTTTAAACTCTCAGCAAACATCAGTTCTTAACAGAAGAAAAAGACAAAGTTTTGTACTTTGCTGTCATGATAATTGTGGTGATCTGTGATAAAAACATCACATTTCGAGCTTTGAACCAGTTTACCTAATCACATTTGTTGTGTTTATTATAGTATAGATGGAACAAATTTTAACATGTTCATTTAAGTAAATCCTCAAAAAGTTAAAATGAAAAAATACTGACCAGTAGTATCTAGTAAAATATATGGTGCTTTTGAATGGTGATCAGTATGGAAAAATATTTAAATATTTAAAATCATAAGAGGAAACATTTACAAAGGGGAAAAAAAAATCAACAGATTGGCATGGCTCTTCATAAGTCTTGAATATGGAACTGGCTGTCTTATCCATACACTTCTCTTGGACTGGCCCATCTCTAAAGGGTCAGGTACTGCTGTGGAAGGGCTGCTGTCCAAATTTGCTTCTCACTAAATCAGTGACAGTAAGTGTACCTGTTACATACCAATATTTGAGCTCAGTACAAAACTGGGAATCTGTTGCTAGTCATTCACTAACTTAGCCTGTTACAAATTGCTGTATTTTTTTTTGATATTTAGCAAACCTATTAATTTTCTTTTCTGCTGTTTTATTTCAACAGGGACTTGGGATGTCCTTGTTACAACTAGCGATATTTCTTCTAATTGCGTGAACCCTAAAATGTCTCTAACTGTATGTGGTGAAAAAGGAAACTGTACTTCAGTGATATTCCCCAAAGGATCCCTTAAAAAAGAACAGATTTATGAGACTTCTATTGAACTAAGTAAGAAATTTAATACTATATTCAAAGTTCGCTTAGAAATTGAAGAAGCTGGAGAAGGAGAAACTTGGCATTGCCGTGAGGTAAAAACTAAAATCTAAAGCAATTACTTATTGTGCCTCTATTTTTTTAATTTTATTTCCATATTCTATAGTTATGGCTTCCAGTTTTCAGTTTTCTCTGAAATTACATAATTTTTAATTTACAAAACTTACACCATTTGTAAAGTGGTAACTTCAGAGATTGCTTAAAACACTTTCTAGGATAGTGATGAATAACAAAAATCTTGTAAACTTGGATGGATTTCTGGAGGGCATGTATACAGATGTGCCATCATCTGTAGTATATCCAGTAGTGTCTTTTCAGAACTGTACCCACTGGCATCCATTGCAATATTTACATAACTCCAAATTGGCTGTTACATGTTGTAGACTCAGTGATCCAAGGCAAATAATTAAGTTAGACACTAGGAATGCATTTTGATGAAAGTATCTGCCTTTTAAGTTGGCATGTGAATAAAAGAAGTGAATAGCAAAAGTGACAATCTTTATTCTGATGTCCAAGATGCTGAAGCTAAAATCTGACATCACACTGAAATTGCTGTAGCACTTCACAATACAAAAAAAAAAAAAAAATCTTTATCTTGTTATACTGGCACAATAAAAAGAATTCTAAAGGAAAGGGTCATCTTCTTTCAAATTGCAGAAACACTTTTGTCCATTCATGTTTTTGGTTTGTTCTCATTAAAAGCTGGAGAAAAAGTAATTTTCCTGTCCAATATATGATATTAGTGAGCTGAGCCCTCTGACATTTAAATGGTAGGCAGGTTGTTAATTTCATCTTCCTAGCCAGATGAAATAGTCATCCAACAAATATATCAAAATTAAGACTGCTTCTGGAGTATTTTAGGAGACAGTGGATCACAGTAAAAATTTCAGAACAGAAACTTGGCAGTTGAAAACAGTGACATCTATTCGTCTGCTTTAGTTCATTAGCTCAGGACAATGATTCAAAGCTTAGTTAGAAAAAAATCAGCATCATTTATGTAAGTAAGGAAAATATGCATATTTACCCTAGATAGAAGTAAAAGGCAGAGAAAGAAATTATAAATTTCCCTTCTTTGGGATACATGTAAATTATTTGGGTTTTAGGAAAACATCTCTTATTCCATGGTTTCTATAGCAAGACTGCTTGAATCCTTTTACTAGGATTCAACTAGGTTGGTATAGAAGATTGCAGATAATATCTATTATAAAAGACAGGTTACCAGTCTATTTACACTGCTGGTTAGGATCAGTGTGGTCGTTTCTATGCTATTTTATTTTGATTTTACAATATTGCACCTCCAGAGAGTCTGAGATTTCCCTCTATCAAAAGTAATGGAAGGAGTAGTTGGTTGAATTCCATGTATAGATTTAGGATTCATTCTTATAACCATAACTACAAACTAATTATCTTGATGTTTTTGAGGAAATTGAAAACAGTATAAAATAATGTCCAGAAGGAAATTAATGCTTTATTTCTGCATCATGTAATAGCTAACAGTTTTATTCTTCCTTCTTTAAGTTCTTGAAAAAATAAAGCACAGTAAATGAAATCTGAGTTTCAATGAAGTGTTCAGGAACGTAGTTATTATTGTGAAAGGGAAATTGTGCCAACATTATACTTCAAAGTACATTTTAAAAAAAATCTTTTCAATGTGTCTGTCATAATGAAAAATAATAAGAGTCTTTTGAAGACAAAATATTGCTACCGTCTCCCAATGACAATACCTAACCAAAGATGGTTTTGCTTACTGGGTTAAAGGTTTGGACATTTTAGTGAGTTAGGTCGTGAAGAATTGTATGAGTGAACTATCTGTGCCCTTTTCAAAGCAGGTTTACTTTGTGCAACTTTTCTTTCAAATATGTTGTCTGGTTGATCTTTAAATAGCTTAAAAAATGGAACTTCATATTTTTGTGTAGCTGGTAGTACCATAGTGTAAGTTATCTCCTTATTAAAATATGTTTTCTTATAGTAGGAATAAGCTGCTTAGCTCAGGAACAACATGTGTCTAAACGTTAGTTTATACACAGAATTTCACAGAGAATAAGAATACTTAGTATGATACTCTATATATTCATATGATACATATATGCTGATATATACATATGCCCTAAAGCATTCCTAATTTCTGTTTTTCAGTTTTTTCCCAGAAACACTTCTTTTTCTCTCTCCTCTTAGAATTAGAAAACATTCTGCACTGAAAAATATTGTGGCATATTGACATTTCTCACAAGCTGAAATGTGCTCACTTCTTTTTCTTCCATATGCTGGATGAATAAGATACATGAAGGAACCATTTTTGAACAATTCTAAATATTTTGTTCCTTAATGTAGTCTCTACAGCAATAATGTTGACAACATTTTGATTATCTTTAATTGGGAAAGGTATCTATTCCTTCTCATTCAACAGGTTGCTTTCAAAAACATTTTAGAAAGGATTATTTCCTTTTATTTTTTAAATATTGAGATGATGTGTCATAGCTGTTTAATAGTTTGCCTTTTGCTATAGTTTGCATTACAGTGCAACAGATGCTGAAATTATTTGGTTTTGCTCTTTGCTAAGGTAAAGCTTCAACACAGAGAAAGTAAAAATGTTCTAGAATTTCCATTTTGTCACAACTTTGCTGATGAAGAAGGAAGAAGAGTGACTGAGCTTCCAGTTCTCACAGCAGGATCTCCTTTTCCAGCAGGTTTGTCACAAATCAGAAACACTGGAAAAGGTTGGTCAGTGACAATGGCTGATTTTCAAAGCAGTCCAAAGGATTTAGCAGATATTTTCTACTTATTTCAGCCTGGTGATGCATGGCTAGGTCCAGTCCTTTCCAGTGCCTAAAAAACAGTATCTCAGACCCCATAACTGAGCATTGTGCATTCAAGTCTGATTGGTATCAGTTTGTGACACATAAAAGAACAAGCATATGGCACTGAAACTATTATAAAGGTTTTGAATGGTACTCAGAGTTCAGCTTTTTCTCAACAATATGATTTGGTTCTCTCCCAGAGCAAAGAAGGGAAATCCCGAGGAAATAACTCTTATACTGTAATTTCAGAGAAGAAGGAGATCCATGGCCCCTCACAACAGAAATGTTCTGTTTGCGTTCCCAGAATTTCAGGCCTTCTTTTTCTGTGACCTAGCAGTTGTATGTCATCAAACTCCATCAGAGTTGTGCTAGATCATCTCAAGACAGGATATTTTTAGTTTGCTCTGTGTTTCTTACAAGGCTTTATAACCAAAGTTAGAGAAGGTTAGAGAAGAATGGAAAAGTTCTTGTCCTAAATGTATATTCTACCATGAGAATATCCCAGTCTCTTCCAGAAGTTAAGGGTTTAAATCAAGCACAAGTAATCTGTATATTCCTTGCCTTTTCTGCTGTGCTTTCAAAGTTAGTGTCAAACAAAGCACTCAGGTAGAAGGTTCTTGAATATGAATTTGAGAAGAATACTGCTGGGATATTCCCTGGGAAGGCTCTTTGCCTTCAAATACTTCTAAAATTTATTTCTTTATGGAAGAACACAGATATTTAAATCTTTACAAATGCTGCTCCTCTTTCTGAGGAGCATTTAGCATGAGGAGAGATACTCTTTTCTTAACCCTCTCACATTTTTTTTTCTCTTTTTCAATTGAATATTTTAGGGATGTGACTTCTTTCTTATTTTGGGGGCCAGGTCACCAGTGTGTTATGCATTTCTCTGGGCATACAAACAGGTGCTTGACATAAGCAGCCATTCAAGAAGTGCTCAGCTGAAGAGTTGTAAGATGACATGTCAGAGAAATACTGTGTGTTCTCTGACATGTCATCTCCTCAGCTGAGGCCAGTAACTGCAATGGGCACAGTGTAGAGTGGCCAGCCTCTGACTGAACCATGATCCAGAGGAAATGCAAAAGTTACTGTCTTTCTGGCAAATTTCAGCTTCATTTGAACTCCATAAGGCTCAGAGCAGAGATGAGCTTGTTGAGTGATTTAGCATAGCCTAGGAACTATTTAATTGGAATGTTATGTATTTACTTGCATACAAGTGGTGATTGAGTACTGTTTACATGTTTTTATACCTATTTATGATATTTTTATTTCATTTTTAATTCTACCTGCGTTTCAGGCCAGGTCAAACTATTTAGCTTATTATTCCTTATAACAGTGGTTCTTAAATTCTAATTACAATGCTTCTATGTGCTTTTCTAAGCATTACAATATAGTCTTCTGATCACACTGGGTAGAATGACAAATGAAAATATAAGAGTAGTAATTTATTAAATGATGTATTTTTTAACTGATTAAGGTTTGGAAAACCATTAATCTCTTTTTCCCCACAGTGAAAAGCTATGTTCTCTACATCACCACGGGTGCTACCCCTGGGTCAGGAACAGATGCAGATGTATATGTCATGCTGCAAGGCCCATTGGGAGATACTGGCAGAAGAAAGCTAATCAGAAAAGATGACAATTTCACTAAAGGAAAGGTATACTTATAGTTTCTGCATTATATTTTTCACTTTTAGAACTCAGTCCAATTCATGTGGACTTAACGGCAGTAGGGCAGTTACAAAGTCCAGTTTGCAATGCTTTGTAATTGAAAGCATCTCTATCTTATGTGGGAAATACTGATATTTATATAGCTAATGTTAACAATAAGTACAACTAATAAATTGATTATATCAAGTGCTTTAAGATTCAATTTTGTGAATATTGAAGGTCTTCAGTGACATGCCAGTGGTTTTCCTGCATATTTGCTTCACAATAGAGCCATAAAGAGGCTCAGTTTCCTTTTAATACGTCTTTTCTTCTCATGCCATTCTTCAGACTGTGGCACCTTTCCCTGGCTTCTGCTGCCTACCCCTCAGTCTGGGTCTTGGTCTCTCTCCAGACGGTCAGACACTACCTTCCATAATTTTCTTAGGTCTACCAAGAGTGTAATTTATTCACTGTGCAGGAGTGAGTCTTGTAGCTGGTAGACATAGACCAGTCAAAGACCAATATATCTTCCAGAGATAAATTTCCCTGTTGCATTGTCAGTATAAAAAGAAATTAGAGGGAATTTGGGTACTCAGTGTGCTTCAGAAACATAGGTAGATTTACTGCAAAACACGTGTCTTTGACATAAAACCTAGTCCCTGTTGGGAGCTCTGGACACAGGGAGTGAAATTTTCAGCTAAAAAAAAAATCATGAGATATTTTAACCATAGAATAAATAAGTTATCTCTGCTTACTGTGGCTCTTTATTTGAAAACAAATTTTAGGATTGAAACAATTTAATAAAGATTCTGAAACAAACATCTGCTATAGAAAATTTGGGTTGGGATAGTTAAAGTTTATAAAAAAAACCACCTGTGGCTTGCAACCATTCAGAAATGCTGAACATATTTTACATTAGACAGTGCTACCTGTGTGTGTGTGCCCTGATACCTTTCTGAAATCTCAGTGAATATTGTGACCACGATATTCTAACATATCTCCCTTTCAGAAATAACATGCAGTAAATTATTTCCTTCTGTTGATGTTGGCTGCCAAACAAATGAGAGTTTCTCCAAGGATGCAGCCTTCCAAATAAGTGTAGACTGATAACCAAAGCAGAGGCATGATATGTGTGATTAGGAGGAGCTCAGATCTTAACTACCCCCAGCCTCATCAATTTAGTGGGAATTGAAAATGGATATTGTCTTACCGGATTTCACCTACTTGAAATACTTGTTCATAAGAAAATTTGGAGAGTTTAAATATCTTTAAGGGACTAAACACTTGTGGATAAAGGTATTCAGCTTTGATAAAGTCATATTTGTTTTCCCTAATTCTGAAATTCAGATTATGGTTTACTGATGAGATGATTTAACTGAATTTTAGACCTGTGGTCCTTTTGTCCTCATAAAGTTAGTTTTAATGCAAGTTTTACTGGATTTCTCCTTAAATCATAGTTACACAAGTGCGCAATCTGATTTCTAGACTAGCAGCTTTTAATGAAGAGGGACCAGGGATGCACATCCAGAAATGTTACCTAAGAAAACAGAAGTGAACCACAAAGATTTATAACATGGAGGGTATTTTTATAGTGTTTGCATCTATTTCAGTGTGGCTCAGAATTTTTCTGTTTTACAGAGTAAGATGCGGAGCTGGCATGCAGCCAACTCTTCATTACTTATTTGACATTTTATAGGAGCAGTGTGTGAATGTAACACAGTATTCTTATATTTCTAATTTTAGATATCAGCATTTGAATATTTTAGGGTCCTAAAAAGAAATTGCTTGTAGATAAGTAATAGAGAAACACATAAAAGTCTTGATTCACTCTTTGTTCTGTGAAAATAAATTAAAGGTATCTGGTTAATTGAAAATTGTAAAAAGATTCTGCAAGCAAGACTCCTGCCTTTGCAGTAACATTTTGTTCGTGACATGTTTTGGAAATTTCCCAATGTTTTCCTCCCTTTACAAGTAATCTCCAAAAAGACTCTCAAGTGAAGAATGTCTCTTTCTACACCAGCCCAATCACATATTGAGCCAAGCACCCCTGCAGTCAAAGAGTCTGCACTTGGTTGTTTAGGGGATTTGGAGTATAACAGGCAGAATTTGCATTCTGAATCTTAACAGTTGTTCTGACATTTTAAAATGTGCTTTTCCTTGCAATAATTTTTCCCCTGACTATACAGTAACAGCTAGTGAACTGGAACAGTGTTTCTGTTAGAAATCACATCAAAATATGGTGTTAGTCTCACAGAATGTCAGGGCTGCTACAAGCAACAGTTTAGCTATGCAGAAATACATAGAAATGTTTAAATATTCAGTGAACTTTGCAGTGGATTGGAGATACTCTTCTCTCATTTAACAGGTCTTTTATTTTCATGAGCTGAGTTACATGACAGTAAAAAAGTGAATTAGCTTCTTATATCTGAAAAGTTGCTTTGTGCCTTTCCAAAGTCCTTACACCTGTGAAACCATCAGAGAACTGGTAGATAAAGTAATGTGCACAATATTATTAATTCACCAGTAAGCGCCCTATAGCTCACCCTGAGAGAGACCAGCACTGTCACTGAGAGAGCTGAGCTTCTGGTGATCTACTCAGACAAATGGACGTGAATATTTGTGCTGCAAGAACCATATTCTTCCAAATTGTTATGACATTGATGCCTTGTTTGATGTTCTTCTAAAAACTGTAAGGATAGACAAAGCAATCTCAGCACACTTCTTCATGCAGTTCAGTTTTCATGAAATCCTAATAGTATTTACTCATACTTCATGAGTCATTTTAAGTCTGATAAATGTTAAGTGCTACAAACACTTTTTTTAACCAAGTATACTCAGCACAGACATTCTGTGAAAAAGAGTTTTGGAAAATCCTTACTGCTTCTTGCACTCAACATTTTTCAGCAAATGTAAGTCTTTGTGCTTTTTTATATGGTCTTTGATAGACTTGCTGTATGCTCTGTCATATGGCTGTAAGTTACCCACAAATTTCCTCTTTGAGAATGTGGGGATTTTTTTAGTTCAGTTCCATCAAAGCCAGTAAACTACACTGACTATGTTATGACTGATATTTAAGTATTTTAATCTAGGTTTTATGAAAGTAGCCAGTATTTTAAGTACTCCAAGTTACTGAAGCACTAAAATCTCTGAGAATTTTTACTTCATTCTATTAGTATTTGAAAAGATATATCCTTTATCCTGCCCTATATTTAGACATCAACTGCTCAGGTTGGTACCATGGTAACTGCAGCACATACAAAAATTGTCAGTGAGAGGTGACAGTGTTCAGTTTCAGTACTCACAGATTAAGCATTGACAATTAAAAAAAAAAATGCTTCAGGAAAAATCATTGTGCACCAGAATACACTAAGACAGGTCAGAATGTGGGACAGTGTACTAAGACCACTAGTAGGAAACCAGTATTTGCATGTAGTGTTGACATCCCATCACAACAAGAGCGCTGCTAATTTGTAAATGCAGAAAAACCTTCTCTTATGGAAAGTATGTCTGACATAATGATTAAATAATTGCAAAGTGCCATTGATCCAAATGTATTAATCATAGTGGTAGGCTGTTGGCCAAGTTAATGTTGTACAGAAGTGAACACTAAATCAGTCTGGTCATCATGGAACCATAGAATTGTTTAGGTAAAAAAGACCTTTAAGGTCAAATCCAACCATTAACCCAGCATTGCCTGGTTCACCACTGTGGCCCTGAGTGCCACATCTACAAAGCTTCTAGGGACAATGACTCATCCACTTTCCTGGGCAGCCTGTTTCAAAGCTTGAAGCCCCTTTTGGTGAAAAAAGTTTTCCTAATATTCAATCTAAACCTCCCCTGGTGCAATTTGAGCTTGCACAATTGCTGATTACGTGGCAGAAGATGCCGACACCCACCTGGCTACAGCCTGCTTTCAGGTGGTTGCAGAGAGTATCCTTTTCTCCAGGCTAAACAGCCCCAATTCCCTCAGCCACTCCTCACAGAACTTGTGTTCCAGACTCTTTAACACCTTTGTTGCCCTTCTCTGGACTCGCCCCAGTTCCTCAGTGTCTTTCTCACAGAGAGGGGCCCAGAACTGGACACAGGATTCGAGGTGTGGCCTCACTAGTGCTGAGTACAGGGGGATTGTCACTGCTGAGGTCCTGCTGGCCACACTATTTCTGATACAAGCCAGAATGCCATTGGCCCGCTTGGCCACCTGGGCACACTACTGGCTCACGTTCAGCATCTGTTGATCAGCACCCCCAGGTCTTTTCTGCCAAGTATCTTTCCAGCTGCTCTTCCCCAGTCCTGTATTGCTGCATGGGGTTGTTTTGACCCAAGTGCAGGACGTGGCACTTGGCCTTGTTGAACCTCACACAATTGGCCTTGGCCTATTGATCCACCCTGTCCAAATCCTTCCTGCCCTCCAGCAGATCAACACTCCCATCTGACTTGGTGTCATTGAGAACTGACTGAGGGTGCACTCAATCCCCCCATTCAGCTCACTGATAAGTGTATCAAATAGGATTGGCCCCAGTACTGACACCTGGGGAACGCTACTTGTGACTGGCCACCAGCCAGATGTAACTCAATCCACCACCTCTCTCTGGGCCTGGCCATCCAGCCAGTCTTTTTCCCGGGGAACAGTACACCTGTTCAATTCATGAACAGCTATTTTCTCCAGGAGAATGCTGTGGGAAATGGCATCAAAGTCTTTCTTAAGGTCCAGCTAAACAACACTCACAGCTTTTCCTTCATCCACTACTAAGGTTGGTCAAGCAGGACCTTCCTTTCATAAAACCGTGATGGCTGGGCATAATCCTCTGATTGTCTTGCATGTGTCATGTGATGACACTTGAGATGATCTGCTCCATGACCTTCCCTGGTAGGCCTATAGTTCCCCAGATCCTCATTACAACCCTTGTAGATGGACATTTGCTAACTTCCTGTCAACTGGGACTTTTCCGGTTAGGTGGGATTGCTGGTAAATGACGGAAGGTGGCTCAGTGTGCACTTCTGCCAGCTC